CCCATCGACAAACTGTCGCCTCGCAAGCGGAACCTGAACAAGCGCAGCCATATCCCCCACTTTGGCCGCTCGAGTTACACATTCTTTCGCCTGACCGAGCCTCGTATTCAACGGAAAATCCGCCGCCTTCAGCCCGCCAAGGCTCTACGGACCAGGCGTTGGGTCATCTTCCGCGACAAGAACACGAGTATTTAGCAATGCCCGTGGAGCGTAACCTCTTGCAGCAGTTTGAAACGCCTCACAGCATCTATCTCCACCGCAAAGCATCAATCCACCCCACGATAGCGAACGCCAAGGGCGTGCCAACGAGATACGCACTGGAGAAGATGAGGTGCCCGGTCATGGATCCGATGTAGGTCGAACTCAAGTAAGTGGCCACATTCGAGAAGGCCATTTTTGCATGGAAGCCGTACGGTAAAATACCAACGGATAAAATTCGGAAGGAGTGCACGCTTCCACCGATGCACCTATCGATGGTTCCTCCATTGCTAAGAGATTAAAATCCAGTTGCCGCTTCTTTCATCTCAGCTTGCGTTTTAGGAAACCGAGGCGTCAATATCTCAGCGTCATTTATAGCGAACATAACACGATAGACAACACGGTAAAACGTAGCGGTGCTTACCCCTGTGATCACGCGAATATGAAGGTAGCTGCCACCTCCCAGCCAGGATAAAGCGTATTGTAGCATTACAGCTGGACTTGGAGGGGGAACGCCTCACGACCGACGCATCGATTGGTAGTAATCTACCACCAAATAAGGACCCAGAATGCAGAGAAGGTCTTCGAAAGTCGCCAAATCCATTCTGTAATATCTCTTGAATTCCTTCTCTTTTAAAAGAGTTGTAGCGTGAATTTTCCGTGACAGTCGCTCTCGAACAACAGGATCACACCTTTGCGAGACTTGTAATCGCTTAAATGCTACAAATAACGAGACTGCATAGCTCTTCGTCGTCTTTAAGTTGGCGCCGCTTTCAAGTACTTGGTGAAGCTCGTCTTGGTGGCTGGAGAGCTGTTTCTGCAAGAAGTACGTGCCATTGATTCCAGCTCAGAAGTCAAGAAGGTTTGGGGGAATTTAAAGTTAAAACAATTTGATTGGATAGAAACACACAAATATCTACATCCTTAAGAGAGTGCATTAATTGGACAAAAATGCAAAACGCATAGCAACGCATGCGTCCAAAGTGTACTGTCCATGGTACACTTAAACAGCCAATCAAAACGCAAAATGCGTGCTTCCGACGCATGCGTCGAGAAAACGCATCGGTTGAGAACGGGCCTTAGTCTTCATAAACACGATTTGCGTGGCGACGTCGCAATGAAGATCAATGTCACGGGCTTCCTTGCCTAAGAGAGGTGCCATCCCCAGGAGCACCGTTCCTGATTACTACTATGACCGAAAGCACAAGTGACAGCCAAATAACGCTCACTTTGAAATATCCACCCGATAAAAACTATACCAGATTTGGCAGGTGAATATTCGTGGATTACACGCAGCACTTCAGCATATATTGCGCCGATGTAGTTTGCCAGCATGTCGTAGCATATCTTACCCAGGGGCATGTAGCGTCGAGTCAGCTTGTTCGCACAGAACGAGAGTGGCAGATTCACTCCACCCCAGCTACCCAAACGCAGTGATACTCTTCTTGCCGACAAATGACATGAGCATACCATTGTTTCCGCCTTTGGAAGATGTCTAGCGTGGCCTCATAGGGTGTTGGTTTTGCCCGTGAGAAAGAAGATTATAAAGCAACATTTTGCGTCTTGTTTGCGCTGTGCGTCGGAGCGATAGCGATAGTAGCCCACGCATTCGTCGTTGTCGTCAAAAACCGACTTGAAGAACACGTTACAGGTCTGCTTCGGCGTGTAGGAGGAAACAGATGAGCGCGCCGGAGATAGTAGAGAGTCCATGCTAGATATCGCACATTGGAAGGGAGGAATGAGGTGGGTTTAAAGCTCAAGAGAAGATTCGCAAGCAGTAGAACTTCGATGTCCTTTAGGCAGTTCAAAGAACGTTGCTTTTGATTGGCTAATATTGTCATATATTGTTTAGAAACCCCTGCCGGTATAAGCCGGTATCGGGACAAACCGACGAATACCGAGCCCGCTCCAAAAGGCTTGACCGAATACCGCAACCCCCGCCTACCCGCAAACGCTTAAATGCTGGTATATCGGTGTGTACCGATTTGATTGCGGAGAGTTGTAGAACATAGCAGACTGCAAACAGTGGTGTCTATGGCGAAGGAGAAGCCCGAGCGCGCAGCCGTAGTTGCTGCTATTGCCCAACGACATTTTCCCCCGGCTCTTAAGTACCCTGAGAGACAGAAGGACTCGTTACTATCGACGTGGTTTGCGTATCCTACTCTCACGTGGGCCCCAGAGTGTCTAACGCCTACTCGAAAGCCTAAATGCATTGTTCAAGAGTGTCCCTGTGAACCGAAAGTCAAGGAGTACATGCAGCGTACTGTAGAGGACGTGGAGCACAAAACGTATTGTATTATGCAAGGTATACATGCTCCGGTTTGTCGGGTCGTTCGTTTTTCTAATATTGATGAAGATTACATATCCTCGTCGAAAATGCTGCTTCTCAACTTTCCTTACTTACTAACTTACAAAAGCGGCATCTCTGTAGAATTGTTTGACATTATATTTGACAGTATGCTGACGACGAAGGGTATTGCAGGTGCAGTAAGTAACATTAACCGGCGTCGGCAAAAGCGGTACTATCGTTTATTGGCATCTGCAGGCGTGGCAGTGGAGATACGTCGCGTAGTGGAGGCCGCGTATGCACCACCTCTTCCACCAACAGAAGAGCAGTATATGGATAAGAACGCGTGTATGGACTCTGAAACGCTAAGAGATATTTGGCTAACTCAAACTAACATTTACATCACCCTCTGTGAGGCCCAAATGGCCGATACAGTATGGAATTGTGCCATTAAACTTGATCACTTGCAGAAGTTTTGCAGCAAGTTAAAGGTTCACGGCGCTGATGACAGCAAAATTCAACCTGGTACTAGTTCAAAATGAGGTAGGGCAAATAATGGGAAGAGCATTAACCCGTTCTGAAAATCATGCCGAAACAGAAACAGTTTTGCGAGCACTTATCGAAAAGCTGAAGCCTGGTGTCGAAAGTACTCGGGTATGCATTTGCGATAATCCTAATGCGAACCGCAATCTAGCCCAGAAAGTCTTCGGCGAGGCAGTCGCTGTCAAACAAGATCCATTTCATGTTATTCAACGATTTACTGAGAAAGTTAGAGAACTTGCCAAACGAAAGTGGCTGGCTGGGGAATTATCGGCAGCAATTTACGATATCGAGCGCAATCTTCGCGCTCCAGGGGATATGGAGGTAAGAGTACAAAAGGTGCTAGCTAGTATCTCACAGTCTAGCGTAAACGTGAAAGAAGCCGAGTGGAAGGGGTGCGTAGCTACTAATTTGGAGCAGATTCGGCGTGGAGATATGTACTTGAGCGATATTCAGTATGTAGATGAAGGCGGAAACACCCGAATAGTTTCGACCAGGCGATTCACTCGAAGTAGCGCAAGTTACTTGATCGTGTTGTTCATCTTACAGGTACGGAATGCAATACTTGCAATAGGCTAACTCCATTTTGAAAATTAAATGGTCTACGTGTAGCACAACTTGAAGACAGGGGCAATAAATCACCGCAACCCAGCTTACCCAAGCTCAGACTCGTACTCGTCAGCAGCTTATCTCACTCTTTTTCGCTGTTCAAGTGATCCGTGGTTTCGATCTCAGCGTCATTCTGTTTAGATCTGTATAGTAGCAACACACACAAAGCAACAGTAGTCAGCATCGCCCGGGTCAAAGGCTTGTGGACTACTCACAGGAAGCATCGTCGCCTACAAGGTGTAACAGCGTCGGTGTGGCGGCGTGGCACCCCGATTGTTTATCTCTGAGCTCTGTGATTGGAACTTGAGGATGTCATGGTGCTGGAGTGTTTTTATACTTTGTATTGGTAATAAAAAGAAGGGGTGTCACTAGATGTGCGGGACAAAAAGCAGGACAAGTTAAAGGTCGTCGACGGTGAGTAACGGTCTATCAGGTGAAAAGCGGTCCCGGGACACCCTCACGAATACCGGTCAAGCCCCCTCCAAAAGGCGAGGTTATGCTTTACAGTAGCCTTTCTACAATAATATGTGCATTGTGCCAAACATCATTTTTTGGACCCATTATGTTGGGGGAGCCACTGTTTTATTGGAAATGCATAATGTATGGCAGGACTTTTTACGGAAGCATTATTAATGCATAAAAATGCGGGTCTTGATTGCCAACACCAATGCACACCTAGCCACAAATTCTACTTGCCACTGCCAACAGTTTTGCTCAGCTTAATTCCGAAGACCCAGTCTCAACCAGAAGTCGTTCATACAAGCCCGCCCCCACCATCTCCCTTTTTGTCGAAGCAGATGCTTTTTTGCTACTTTTCGCCGTGCCTGGACGCCAATGAGGCGCCGACTGGCTATTTTGTGCAAACTTTAAGCTCAGGCCGATGGAAGAGGTAAAACAAACCTAAATCAGCACACATCGGCTCCAGCACCCCATCTTTGAGGTAGAAATGCTAGTAGCTAGACGAGGAAGGGCGTAGTCACTTCTGTCGTGGACTAGTTAGACAGTCCCAAACCGGGTTGGCTCAAGTGGATCACCTTCGGTAATTTGTCTTTGTCCTTCTGCTAGTAGATGAGGATGCAGCGGTACGTTTATGGGTGGACTTGAGGCTTAACGCAAGTTTCGTACTAACTTTTTTTCATGTTGCTTTACTACTTGGTCGATACACGATTCTATCGAACTTTTCCTCAGAAATGCTAGCGAGACTATCTCCAGGCAGTTAAAATTGAGTCGTGGCAGGAGTGTGGTGGTGGCCAACTACGTTGGTGCTGTTTAATCGTGTGAGTGAGGTTGTGTGGTGGAGTGGGATTCGCAAAATCGCGTTGCGATCCACTCAGACACACAGTGCCCTGGACTGCCGACTGACGGAGGGGGTACTCCGATAACCGTGGAGTTGCTGAGGGCTCACCTTGTGTACCCGTCGGCGGGGCTGGCTACACTCCTCTGGTGGACTCGATGAGAGGCTTGGCCGTGGGTTGGTCTCGTCTTGGCGGGACGCGGGATGGTTTGGGGTTGGCGTAGCGTGGATACACTTCAGGCTACGCGCCAGGTAGGTTGTCGATCTTGATCGACTTGGGGTGTGCTTGTTCCTTTACGGGGGGTTCCTTGTTCCTTTACTTGCGAGGCTTGACCGCTTCCTATAGCGGGGAAGTTGGGGGCGAGAGTGGAGACGATCGACCGGCCAAGCTGCAAACTCCGGTGATTGACGCGTGTCCTTGGTAGAAGTCTTGAACTGAAGACACTTGTTCTAAATGAGGCAAATTCCACTCTGTTATTCCTTTAAACCCTAGCAGGACACTACCTTCTACCCATCCCATGATTGCTCAAACTGGCCCTTTATGGTACCCATAAATGGGTACAAATCAGTCGATCTACTACCACTTCGAACCGGGGTTATCGAAATGATTGCACCATTTCGGACCAGATCGCATCGCAATGATTGCACCTCGTCGATCCAGCCTTGACCAGAAAGACGGTGCCTCCAGAATGATGGCTCGAGTCAGAATGATTGTTCTGGTTGCGCACTTGAAGTAGGCGACCCCTCGCAGCTGATTGGTCCATTTCCATCCGTCTCACATTCTCCAAATTTCTCAAGCGCTTCACCACAGTTGTGTGTGGTGTTCCAAAAGCTTTGGCTGTCTAGTGAAATTGTATCAGCATCTGTCTACTTGCAGTGGCCGCTGTACTCGATGAGTACGTCTCGGATAGTTTATAAGGATCCTCTAGGAAATGCGCGCCTTGAATATTGTAAAGAAACTCAAGTGTAGTCTAGCTCAGCAAATCGAAGGATAAAAAGATTTTGCTTTAATTATTGAGCATACTGTCGTGTCAATTGCGCCAGGAATGCAGCAACATTCACGGGGCTTTCTCTTTGAAAAGGTGGAAACCGTGAGTATATCAAGGGACTCCAGGTGTATTATTTCTCATTACTTCGCCGTTTCTGCTTTTAGTGACTGCCGACTGAAAGTGTTCGCCTCTACACATACACGTCACTATTGCGACTGTTACAGTATCTCTGGCGAGCAAATCTCGCCTAGATGTCACATTACCGAACCCTTCAGCCGTGGAAGGTGAGATAATGGTCGTGTAATGAAGGGCTCGAAGATAATCAAAAGCAATTACCCGTACCTACTATGACATCGAGCACTGTTGCAGTGGGTCTTGCGATGATTGCAAATCGTCTTTGATGTTTAGGTGGCAGTGCGGTGTCGCTTAGCGCGGCTGTTGTAAAAGAGATTAAGGTGTTTCTCTTTACTGCTGTAAAAATTGTGGATTCCAGTTTATGGCTAAGTTTCATTCTGACCGAGATTTTCAGACAGTGAGTTTATTATGGCTAAGCTAAACAACCTTTGTGGCTCAGCCAGATGAGCGATCGAGCGGTCTTGCAAATTTCGACTATACTCGAAATCATATGCTAACGACCGACCTTGACGAGTGAACAGATCACTCAAATGATTTCACGAGCAGTCACTCCATGTCACGTCATTCCCCCATTAAGCGTCTTGTCTCCCGGAGGTGATGGCGCTGCGAAACGAAAATTAACTTCCGTCTATTTCCCCACTCTTTTGCGTTTTTGCTGATCATTCCGCGGAGCGCGGAAATGCAAAATCTGGTGCAGATCGCTGAATCCAGTTGCTCCTTGCGAAACTCAAGTAACGTGTCTTAATCATCCCATGATCCAGTACTGATCAAGCTTGAATCAGATGATACAGCCATCTGTCAAAACAAATCGTTGGTGTCATCTATCGTGCACAACATTTTGTACGTCAGCGTTAGATGGATGTTGCAGCTTTCCGCGTAGATAGTAAAGTTTCGTCAGCTTAAACTGAACCAGTGTTGCTTCGTTTAAATGTTGTGTGTATACTTACACAGAAGTATTTGCAGTAGATGAAATCGAAAGTAAACTTGATAAAAGTTTGCGCCTTTTGACCATATCGGCCGGATATATATGCCCGAGAAGAGGCATAACGCGAAATGGGGAGAAGCCGTCAAGTTCTCGCTTTCTCTTCTAACGGTACGACTGTGGTGGTCGCTGTAAACGGGTACAAGCATACGTCTCCACGACGTTTCAGCTGGGGGGTATTTTCAATGGCACGGAAGGGTACACTGCCTGTGGCTTGCACTCTTGTGTAGTGATGGCCGAGATGCTGGGCAGTCGGTGAACTGTGTTCAGTGCCTAATTGAGGTGTGCTTCGCGGAATGAGGCCATGATAGTCTCCCAAATATGTTTGGTGGATTGGAAAGATTAGTGAGGGAGGGGAAGAGGCTTCGAGGAGGTAGAATCGTATCTTGGCGAGATGTCGGCGGGGATGGGGGCTTTTTTTGCCTCTTTGTCGGATGGTCGTTCTAAGCTTTCACAGTGCCGCTACAAACGATAATTCGGGTCGCCTTACACCCCCTCTGCACTGCGAGCAGGTATTGTATGACTCTTAAACCCTTTAAGGGTGCGTTGGTGATAGAAAATTTACTCCTTGTATTTCCCTCGGTGGACTTGTGGCGGTGGTAGCAAGGCTAAAAGTAAAAGACTACAGTCAAAACAGGGTTCCAGAATGATTGGTGCTCAAGTTTTGGTACAATATCTTATTCTTTCTGTTGCAACAAATTGTCGGCGTTATTTATCGCAGATTGAGATTAGTTCATTTAAAATACACCTTGTTTCGCAATTTATATTAGTGCATTCAGTGCAGGTTTTGATCCGTATAAGGTACTTTTTTTCGGCCCCATGGTAACGTGTGGCAGGGATATGGGCCACATCTCAGATGTTGGCGAGTTTGCCACCTGGGCGGTAATGATGTACAGTGAGAAGAATTCGGTGCTACGGTAGCACCGAAATTTACCCAATTGTACACTTTATCGGTTAGTTATTTTCAGGTCGGATACTGGAAGTGTGTGATGCAGAGGTCAGATGTCCTATCAGACCTTATTTCCAGATTCTACCAGATATCAGACCCTTGCAAAAGCACGTAAGCGTATTGAAGTGGAACGAGTCATGCCGATATGAACAGCGGTCCCCCGTGCCTCCACCCCCAGTTAGACACTTGATGAGGTCATTTCACTCTCATATTTTTCTTCAACAGCATTGGTCAAAGCGTCGTGGCTGTTCCTATTATCAATATCGATGTCTAAATTATGCATCTCCCTGTCATCTTCGTCGGTGCTTGCGTCGTTAGGCTCCATCAAAAACTCACTTGCTCCTTGACAACGAAACAATCTCGCGCTGTTATCCGTGAGCATTCTACCACGGACATTAAGGTAGTAGAGGACGTACTCTCGCACGAGAGCCTAGATAGTGGCCACAAACATCGCCATACAAGGGTGAATTAGTGGTTTAAACGTTCTAATGGGTTGCTCACTGGTGTGATGAGGCGCTTGGTTAGTCCGTGAACATTCCACAGAGCAGGGCTTATATCGCTAGCCATGTGTATTTAAAGTAACGTCAAAGTACGCTCCATCTCGAGCGGATGTAGGCGACTCCACCATTTTTGCAGTATTCCTTGGTTTGACGCTTCACCCACCGTATACCAGAGCTTTGATTTGATTGACGAGCAAAACAGCAAGTATATCGAGAGCCCCCGTTGTCAATGCTATACTGTGGGCTCTGTTTAAGATACCAACGTTTCGCATATTTCTGCGGATGACCTGCTTAAAGTGCCGAAGACATCAGTTTCGGGAAACGTATCTCCGATCACGTCAATAGGGCACGTTCAAAAGCACAAATAGACTTCGTAGCATCAAGCTGGTGGTCAACTTGTTTAATGAAATGACACAAGGAGCTGTAGTTCGATGAGTAGTGAACACGCAAAACACAGCTACGTACTTCCACGACTACCTGTCGTGTACCATAACTGCGATACCTTGTTGAAACCAGCCCGACGCGTACCAAAAGACGCGGCAAACAGCGGTGTGTCGCTTACTTTACCAGCGCGAATATGTTGGGATGCGCCCATATTCTGCTTAGCTGTTCACTGTCGTTGAAGTCATCGAATTAGCGAATTCGAAATAAGTTGGGAGGGGGGGGATTACTGGCACGCGACAGCCCAGATATCTCCATGAATCGTGTATAGTGCCCCCATTGGTAATTGCGAGCACGGTACATCCTGCTTAGTACCCGCACTCGAGTGGTCTCAATAAGAACTGGATTCGGGCCTGCGGCTCGTTGACGCGGGGTCAAATAATCGCGGTAGACCAAGCAATGCCGCTTTAATTAGCCCCACATCAACACGTTGTTGCCCCCATCCCCCCCAATATCTTCGTTATGGCAACCCTATCAACTACGATAGCGGCCGCAAATCGAGACTAACGGAGGAGTTCCGCCTCGACCTCAACCACGCCATCGAACTTACTCCGCTCGAAGTCCAAAAATATAAGTCCAGCCCCATACATTAAGTTGTTCGAGAATCTAAGTCTAAGTTCGGTTCGTCCCACCCGAACTTAGCATCTTTATTGCTTTCTGGTAGATTCTATCACTACAAGCAAGAGAGCTATCTGTCAACGTAGCTTTCCAAAGATGGGGAATGGCGTAATTGTTACTTCCATCAACGTCCATAGAAGCCATTAACACGGACTGTAGGGAAACGAAAACGCTGTCCAGAGCGCTGAAATGAGGCTGCTTGAATGCTTCGTCGACATTGTTGACCAGATCTTCGATAGTTTTAGCCGCTCTCTTGACGTAAGGTTCCTCCTTTTACTGCGCACGCCGTCGGAGTTGGGGGCTCATCTGGGCTTTTTGCGAAGGAAAAAAAAAGCAAAAATGAGAAATGAGGCCGTAATTTGGTGACCGTACCTCGTCAACCACTCATTCAAACTGAGCGCGAAAATCACCAAATGAACCGCTGTGTTTTGTTGCTTTTTTTATCAACCAGTCACGAATAAATTTCACTTTTGACGCTAAAGCGAATTTTTTTTCTAATCCATGCCTTATATTACCGAACGGAGGAAGTACAATTTACGAGACAGGAAAATCATTCGCCTGAACAAAACAATAGGGGGTTTCAAAATTTAAAAAAATTGATTTCGAAATCGTTCACGATTTCGTGCTGTGCCACTGTCCCAAATCGGACGAGGTACTTCATCAAAATCAAATGCAATTCCCTCCAAAATCCTTCGACTCCCTCCGAGAGGGGGGGGGGGGTTCCCCTCGTAGGTTCCAGTCGCAAATTTGCCACCATGGCAGCCAAGGGAGTAAAGAATCGAGGCAAAGCAAGCGATGATGCGTCGAAGTCCCATCTTCGAATTGAAGATCTCTACGCAATCGTCACCTGGCTTGAACATCCACCTAACTTCGTGAAGTGCTTTGGGACAACCGGGAAGCCCTCAGTGGGGAAACAGTCGACGAAAACCAGCGGTTTCAAGGAGATGGACAACACTCTGTTCACTAGCAGCAAGGGGAAGTTTAGTCTTAAGCCTCATCAAATGCGCAACCGCTTTACTACATACAAGGCGCGCTACCTACGTACGAAAGAGTATGAGGACTCAACTGGTGCTGGTGTAACAACAGAGGACGCAGCGAAGGGAATTCACACGCTGAAGCAAAAACTTGACTTGATGTGCCCTTGGTACGAGAAAATGAACGATCTTTTTGGTAAGAAGTCTAATGTTACCCCACTAGACTCTTTTGATTCCACCGAAGTGGAGGAGGAGGGTTATTTGACGGAAGGTGACAAAGACAACGAAGAGGACGATGGCGGCGAAGGAGGTGTAGGGGGCGAGGACGAGGAAGGTGATGAGGACTTGATGTCTGTGGCTGATAGCGAGGTTGGGCGAAGGATTCTGCCTCGACCACGTAGCCTGAGCTTTTCGCTCAGCGATGCCTCTGACGCAATAGGAGAATCTTCACTCCACGATTTTCCATTGACTCAAGTTACTCCTGCGAGCGCCACGTTGACTTCCCAAGAAGTACACCAACCTTTCCAGGTGACCGTTGCTTCTGATACAGTGACTACAAGCAAACGATTGTTGAACGACGATACACGGATGTCAGCTTTACATAAGTCACAACCCTCCAAGAAAGCTCGTCTTGCCCCACCTCCAGCTACTTTGAGCACGTCCCCACAAGATGCACGTGGTAGCGGTAGCAGAATTGCAACTGCAATGAAGCAGGCAGCCGAATCAAAGGCGAAAGGTACGTCTACACTCCGTGCCGTGAATGTGCTACTTACTAATCCACACTTTTCATGAGTTACAGTTGAGAAACTACGCCTGGAATTTGACAAGGAGAAATGGTCTAGCGAGGCTGAAAGACAATCAGGTAAGGCGTGGCAGCTTGTTTCTTATGCGCAACCACGACCATTAACATTGGCATCTTATACTTCAGATCAACAAGTCCTGCAACGGGAACGGCTAGCGTTCGAAAAGACCAAATGGGAAAAGGAGCGCGAAGATAGACGCTCTGAGCTTAAGCAGCAGCAACGATTCAATGTCTTAAACTCGTTAATCGAGAAGGGTCACAGTGTCGAAGAAGCTGAAGCGTTCCTTAAGCTGCTTTAACGGCGTAAACGATTGGAGTTCTGGCTAAATAGCCGATAGCAGCGTGTCCTTGAGCTACTAACTCCCAAATACAGTCTCGTTGCTACAAGTGAATATCATCATGTCTCCAAAAGAACAGCTCCTGGTTCTGGCAGGCCTGCGCGCCGCTCAACTTGGTGTACGAGCACATGAGCGTGGCGCCGTTGCCCTTCTGCAGAAGCGTACCTGGAGCAACCCAGTACAACACCTTCAGCACCTGCACGTCCACGATGCTGTTGACAGCGATGCCACTAGCTCCAGAGTAGTACGGACCAATCTGCTTGGGGTTTGTAATTGTGCCTTGGGCCTGCGCAGACGTCACGTCCTGCACACCCATACGAACGTTCAGGAACGAGTCCTCGCTGTACGACTGCCAGATGCTGCCCCCGACGCAGAAACTTTACACAGGTACCGTGCAGACGCAATTGGGAAGAGCTTGACTTTTGCTTGTGATCGCCCTGCGTGGGCAAGCCCGTGGCGTTCTGGACGATCACCACCAGCAAATAGTGTTTTACATCCGCATCCGCCGTAAGCTACGTCTTCGCGTAATAAGTGTGATAGGCTTGATAATCTCACGGATTGAGCTACGCGCTTCACGCTCAAAACCATCAGCACCCTGGTTAGGCGGATCGGACTCCAAGAACATTTTTTCCAACCATCCCCCAGCCGTGCCATCATATTGTGAAGTACACAACACCCAATAGCCCAGTCAATTAATTGTGTCATTTCTTGTTCCGAGCGTAGCTGATTCCGCAACTCACGTAATGAAGACCATCTCCCTTTCAGAATTCCAATTGCGTGCTCATTCCGCACTCTAGACATAGCTAAATAATTGTTGAACTCTGCGTTGTCGGGTTGATCTGCAAGCGGAGATTTGTATGCTGGCAACACAGTCTGCAATAGTGGGTAAGCAGAGTCGGCTAGAAGGAACTCCCCACCATCAAAGAAAAGTTCACTCTCGCGATAGATTTTCATCCGCTTAAACACATTCGAATCAGCGCATGACCCAGGACAGCCGCAATGTACCGCAATAATTCTCTTATCGCTGTCACACACAACCTGCATTGACACTGAATACCTGCAAGGCAAAGCGTTAAATATTTACGAAGCAGGTCCATGCACGCCAATGCCCATACCTTTTCTTTCTATCCCAGTAACTGCTTCCATCTAGTGCTGGGCGTTGTGAGAGGGGCAGTGTAGTGCCATCAATAAAGCCAACGCATCCAGGGAAACCCTCTGATGCCATAACGCTCGCAACCTCCCGTCGTCTGGCTCGTGACGGCCACGCAATCCATTGCGCACGCACTGCCTTGAGAGCTACAACGACTCGCTTCGTATACGCTACCACCGACCCAGCAGCTATATTGAACCGCCGGTGAAATTCTCCAACACAAGCAGCATTTCCATTTGCTCCGAGCCGGGCGAGTGCAACGGCAATCTGTACACTCGCTGGCCGTTGTTTGTGCGGCGCATCGGTGCCACCGGAATTAAACACAGTGTTCCCTCCGATATAGTCGTGTAGAGCAGCAAACGAAGACTTGGAAACCCGCGTAACCTGCCGGAACTCGTTCTCTGGGAGTGCCAAAAGCTCATCAAACTTGTCGTCTCGGTGTGGGGCTCCTATACGATCGTAGAGATACCTGCTTGTAGCGACGGATAGATATGTCGTCCACAGCATATCTCTCTCTTCGGCGTCGTCGCCTACGATACTGAGGGCGCAGGCTGTGTCCAGGTCGCGTAAGAGCTCGCGTCGCTCCGAGTTGTAAGGCATCGAGAAAGGGGGGTCTGCGACGAAAAAATGATTTGATGGAAAATCGAAATCGGATGCGGTCCAGGTCAAATCAGAGTAGTACACCCGACCAAATCAGAGTGGTACACTCGACCAAATCAAAATCATTTCGCAGGGACGGCCGCGACCAAATAAGACGCTGATTTGCTAATTTTGAAACCCCCTAATATATTAGAAATACGTTTTACAAGTTTCATTGCTATTATAATAGTGATATACTATTTCAAACTACTTTTTCTAAAAAAACTATAGTAGTAAATTAAAGGAGTAGTACCTCGTCTTATTGTATATTTGTAATATTGTTTAATTGTCGCTACTATTCATCTCTGCCAACGACTTGACCGAAGCTGATGAAGAAGGCGCCTGCCGGACCTGCACGCAGTAGCTTGCGCGCCGTCAAAGAGCGGCAACTCGCGCTCGTCGAGAGACCCAGCCGCGATATCCAGCCCGTGGGCGCACGGGAGCTGCAGGTGGATGATGACTGGGAAGAACGCTTGAACTTGGAGGTCAAGATAATGTATGGCGCGTTAGCTACACCTTGACACCGTTTGATTCCCTGGACGGCACTAACCATAGATGATACAATGCTACAGGAACGTCGTGGGCACAGTGGATTTGAAAACGCCGTTAGACCTCAAAACGATCGCGTTACATGCACGCAACGCCGAATACAACCCCAAGGTGCGCGAACTCTGAAAGCCTTTGACTGACGTTTACGACGAGTCAATTAACCCGAGTTACTATTGTGATGTAGCGATTCTCAGCGGTGATCATGCGATTACGTGACCCCAAGACGACGGCGCTGATCTTCGGCTCTGGAAAGGTTGTTACCTTCGTCACATGGAAGCTGGTACAAGGTTGTTTTGCTGATCATTTTTTTTTTTTTGCGTTGTACTATGCAGATTGTCATTACGGGCGGAACAAGTGAAGACAGTTGCAGGTTAGCTGCTCGCAAATTCACGCGCGTAATACAGGTTGGTGCTACAGAAATGGCTTTTAACAAGTAACACTGTTAACAGTTTTTGTTTTTTCGGGTGCTTAGAAATTAAACTTCCCGGCCAAGTTCACAGAGTTCAAAGTGCGCAATGTGATGGGAACGTGTGACATCCGCTTCCCGATTCGTCTGGAGGGACTATTGAACGATCATGCGCGCTTCTCTAGTGTATGTTGCGGTATTTTATGCCTGCATTGGGCTACGAGCATAATTCTCACACTGCGCTCCTATTTGATGTGTTACAGTACGAACCGGAGCTGTTTCCCGGTCTTATCTACAAACTCGTAGAGCCCAAGCTGACGTTGCTCATCTTCGTGTCTGGCAAGATCGTGCTGTGTGGCGCTAGAGACTCGAACCATCTCCATCAAGCCATCGACAAGATGTACCCCGTGCTTCTACAGTACCGAAAGATGACAGCACCACCATCATTGCTGACAGGGAAACCAGGATATGAAGATAGCGAGGATCTCGACCGTCTAGAGCCGGGGGCTAACGTCTAAGACCAACGAGACAGTATGAGTCTGCATTGCTGTATATCTAGCCTTCTCCCACGCAACTAAAAAATCAACGAAAAACAAACAGGAAATGTAGCATATGCATCCAGATTCCTCAAGTGCAACTCAAAGCGACAAATTCATTTGTTCGCATCTATCCCTAGCCTATTCACTCGCTTTTCGGGTTCTGTTTTTTACGTTTCTTCTTTCCAGAGTTATTCTTCTCATCGCCAGCAGGCTCTGACTCAGAGTTGTTGTTGGACTCGCCGTCCTTCTTGTGTTTCGCCTGCTTCATCTGCTTCAGACGGTTTGCCTTCTGGAGGTCGTATCCAGATACCGTGTTAATACGATGACGCGTGGGCGGTGCCTTGAGAAGCTCCTTCCTCTTCGATACACTGCAAAGAAGAATAAGTAAGCCACGTGACAGCAACAGCATCATAACCAGCGAATTCTGCGTACCTAGCCTTCTTGAGTGAAAGCATCCAGTCGGGGACCTCACAACCCGATATCTTCATCACATTAGCGATCGTACGCAGGTAAACCATGTCATCTTCGGTGAAGAACGTGACTGCCTTGCCCTTGCGTCCATTTCGGCCGGTACGACCGATTCGGTGAATGTAACTCACAGCACTCTGTTCGAAAACCACTGTTGTTAGAGTTCCTGCCTCACTGAAGAAAAGCATATAAGATCCACTCTTTTACCTGTGGGAAATCGTAATTGATGACCATGTTGACGGCCTTGAAGTCCATACCACGGCTCATAAGGTCTGTACAGATGAGCACCCACACTTCTCCAGTACGGAAACGTCGAATCACATCGTCGCGCTGCTCCTTTGTACGGTCTGCGTGAACAGCGCCAATATTCACTCCGTCATACAGCAGTTCGTGGTATAGCTCATTGGCACGTTCCTTGTTCTGTACAAATAGCAGTGCCGGAAGCTGGAGTCCCTCCTGCAGCAATTGCTTCATAGCAACAAGTTTTCCTTCCTCCTTGCCAACGAAAACCAGTTTCTGATCAATCGTACTTGCACCAGCATTTTTCGTGCCCACAGCCACCTTGACAGGGTCACGCAGCACAGTTTGAGCCAGCTCCTCGACTCCCTCCAGCATCGTAGCGCTAAACATGGCTCGCTGGACCCTGGGGTGAGTGCAAGCAGCAAAAATCTCATCAACCTGCTCCACGAAACCCAGCTCCAGCAGTCTGTCGGCCTCATCCAAACACACCATCTCAACAGTAGACAAATCGACCTTCGACTCTTGGATCAGGTGTACGAGTCGCAGTGGGGTGGCAATCAGGACATCGTGGTTAACCGCCAGCTTGCTCTTGGTCTGGGACGCAATGGTAGCAGCTGTAGCCTTGGACAGCAGTGTGATGTGCAGCTTTTTACCGGCAGCGAGGCGCGTGAACTCGGCACGAATCTGCACCGCCAGGTCACGAGTAGGAGCCAAAACGATCGAGCGGATGCCGCTGCTTGTACCGCTACCAGCTGCCAGGTTCGCTAGGATTGGGATCGCAAAAGCTGCCGTCTTGCCGGAACCTGTAGGTGCTGTGGCCAGCACGTCGCGTCGGAGCAAAAAGCTCGGAATGGCTTGCATCTGCACTGACGTCGGCTCCTTGTACTCGGAGCGCTCGATATTCTGTAGAAGTAGACGCTTCATCTGCTGCGCACTCGCACTCGAGTCCAACCGCATGTCAGCAAATGACGTAATCGGTGCCGGCACACTGACTCCGCTCACGCGAATACCAAGCTGACGTCGAAGCATCTGAACTTCCTCCCTGTTACAACCATACCAAAGCGAGGCGTGAGTGTTCTGCAGACTTAAACACATAATAATAAACATTATACGTACTGTTCGGCAGCCACAGTATTTTTCCTGTCCGCCTTCTTGGCATCTTTCTTTGCCTTCTTTGCCGCCTTTGCATCAGTCATTTCCTCGTCCGCGACTTCGCCGTTCGACTTAAATAGAGTCACAGCCTCGTCGTCATCCTCTTCCACCTCGCTGTCACTATCAGCCTCAGAATCCTCCGACTGCTGCGATGTCGCTTCACTTCCCATCGATTCCGTGCGCGAGCGACGACGAGCACGCTTCTCTTTGCGCTTGTCAGCCTTGGTCTTGGGCGGAGCGAGCAGCTGCGATGCCTGTTGTCGCGCCTCATTCTCCAGACGCTGCTCCTCCAATGCGCCTTCGCTCAGCTTGCGCTTGCGACGAGGTTTGCTGCCTCTCACCTTGCGAGTCTTACTGGCTGCCTCGTTACCGGCCCATTCTGGCACCATGTCGACGCTTATTTTGCGCGGCTTGGACGCCTTCTCCTTGGGCTTCGGAGCCTCATTGAAGCCGAAAAAATCCAGCTCGTCAACTTCCACAGTTTTCTTAGCTTCCTTCCCGGCTCCTGTGGCTAGGATTCATTGCAATAACAGGAAGTACATGAGTATAATAGAGAACTGGTTTAAAACTGCAATTGCTACGGCTACAGAGCCAATAGGAGAATGGAATAAGCGTGAAGAGAGAGAGAGAGCACACCTTTGTTGAGATGCTTGAATTGCTGCTTGTCATTCTGGAACTTAGCGCCGCCGAACTTGGCGCCCTGTGTGAGCGCTCCGAAGAAGGTGCTCGACATGATCAACTTTATCGTTTGTCCAGCCAAAATGACACCGCCACAGGCCACTAATAGGGGTGGCTAACACCCAATCGGCGTGCACATTTCTATAGCCCGTTTTAAGTTGGGCAAAATTCAATTCTGATGGCACCAATGGCACAATATATTATGGGCCAACGTTGAAGCTACAGGGAACTAATACTGGTTAGATGTCATTGCGTTGGTGTCATCTTCCGCGCATGCCTGATTCACCTTTTCCTTTGCGCTTGCAGCCTCAGGTACGGTGAGGACTAAATACGATTCCAAATCCTGGTCGGGAGCTGTTGGGAGCTCCAAGGACGATCTGGAGTCCGACCAGTGACCATTCGGTCCAAGCTTGACGGTAATCTTGGTGCAGTTCTCATTGATCGCTTCAGCGTTCACGTATTCATAGTGCAGATTCTTCAGTCCGTTCTTCTTCCACGTGCGATGATGCTCCTTCAGCAGGTCGTACTTCACGGTGCATTTCACCTTGCTCGTTCGAAGCACTGCCAACTTTTCTTCCAGATTGAGTCCCTCTAGGTCGCGAATTGTGCCACTGCAATGCACATAAGCCACGAGCCGCAGCTCATTAGCATCATATCATAACGTGTCAAAGCTAATGAAACGCACCTCGCCGGTGCTTGGATGGAAAATTTCTTACGCACCACCCGACTGTAGAGTTCGTTGTCCTCTCCACCCCAGCCCCAAAAGTTGTTGGGAAAACCGTTAACCTTGATGAACTGCTGGAACGTGAACGCCACGATTCCGCCAAAGTAGGTCGAGCTCTCGTTGTAGCGATCCCACACACGTGCAATGTGCATTGGTCCAAGAGTTGGTATCGTCGTGTAGAGTTCACCCAGATCATCCTGCACCCAGCATCGAACAACACCGTCAAATTGCGTCTTGTACATTAAAAAAAACTAAACTCACCCCCGGCAGCAGGTCAACGTCGTGAAAGATATAAAGGTCGTAGTCGTTGCGAGCCATGTCGAAGCCTGCGTTTAGCAGCTTGCCTCGGTTAAACTTCCGTCCGTCCAGCGACTGGTCGATGATGAAGATGTGGAAGGAGGCACTAGCAGCAGAAAGTCAGCAGAATAGCACTAGACCAGCGTATTGTCTACTACCATGGTTACCTCTTCAAAGCACAATGACGTTTTAGAAACTCTGTCATGTATGGCACGAACTCGTCCAATTGCGCTTGTCGCTTTTGTGCTGGGTGGTTGTCGCGGAACGGCACAAGCACCGCCACGCGCGTCGTGTCTTGCATAGCACTACTGCTGCGTTTGTCTTGTGGTGGAGCCTCTGTCTCTTCCGGAGCTGTAGTAATTGCGCATTGTGTCTTGAAGGGCTCACTTTGTCCCGGACAGGCGGCGCCATTCGACCGTCGTCGCCTTTTCTTGTTGTCGCCGTCATGGACTTCGTGTGCGAGCCGCTTGGGCGCCATACAACGGCAAAAAAACTGGTAGATGTCTTCACGAAGAGGACAGAGCTTAAACCATCCAGTGGTTGGATACGCAAACGCGCAATCCCGTCCTTGTCGAGGGAGATGCTAACCTTCTCTCGGCTCAACGAACACAAAACATTGGAATTCGCACAGATCTATATAAGCTTGCAATTGGTCAGAACATCGAGAACCACTTTTACAGCAATATCTTGATCTATGTATGAAATCTACCAACCAGTGCTTTGCTACCTCTATCAATGTATAACTTGTCAAAATGCATACAAAATATGCTCTCACTTCAACGAGCTGCAGTGGTAGCTACGCTAGCTGCTCGTTGAATTCTGCAAGTGTGATGCCTAGAATCTGCGAGAACAGTGCGCCAGGAATGCTGTTCTTGACCATGCATTTCCCCACGCGACGCTGGTAACTAGTGTCGGTCTGGCTCATCCTCCGGAGCACGTCAGCGATGCCTTGTTGTGTCTCGACGGGCACCTCGCTTTCAACTAGAGCTTTGATAAGGTTGTCCAACATGTTTAAGGTCTGTACGATGCGGTCTGCTGTCCCGTATTCGTCTTTCTTCTGGATCGCAGTTATAGCCTTCACTGCTGCTGGCGTGTCTTCGTCATCAAAGCTGCTGATGTTCTCGTCCAGAGCGGACACAGCCTTGATCCCCAAGACATCCACCAGCAGATCTGGTGTGTGTAGCAGTCTCTGAGTAAATGGGGCCACGCCACGCGGCAGGTCGCACGCCGAGTTAATCGTGATGCTTGCGTTCTGTCGCACTGCGGCGCTAGTGTGTGTCAGACATTGAACCAGCGGCTCAATGCCGAACTCTATCACACGCGACTTCGCGTCCTCGGCGGTTGATAGCGCCATCACTGCCGCAACGAAGCATCGAGTGAGTTCGTCCAGCTTTTCAGCTGGCTCACAGCGCACTTGGCCAAGAAGGATCTTCGACAGCGTTTTGAGGCACAACTCCACGGCATCGAGCTGGATCGCTTCTCGCTTGGCCTGGTCATAGGCTGCTACGTTCGTGATGACCATCGCGGAGTGCAACAGCGTTTCAGCTCGACACAATCGCGGCTTCTTAATTAACGACAACACTGGTTTAATAACAGAAAATAGTGCGCAGGTACGAGCGCCTTCGTAGACACGTGTGAGGTTTGCAAGCACTTCCACGAGGTGCTCGACTATTCGAGTTGGTACCTTGGACAGCGGCTGGGTTGTCAGCATGTTTGCCAGTGTCGTCACGGCTGGTATCTTGTTCGCAAGCAAGAGGCAGCCTTCGTTGGAGACAGTCAAGTTGATGAATATGCGGCAGCCAGCAGCAACCACGTCATCTTCGTCGTCGCCGATCAAACGAGTCGCTGTGGTTAAGACAACTTCATCGCTTAAGTCGTTCGGTGTGTCCTGTGGAATGAATTAGTTTCTCCTCAACTCAATTAAAAAAAAGAGACTGCATACCATCTCGAATAGAACCAGTGACGCCATCACGAAGGCTGCATCGGCACGAACTTCGGCTGAGATTGACTGCGTTAAATCTGCACAAGTAAACATGACCTCCTTCATAATGGCCGTGTACTTGAAATTCGGACTGCTCAGAAGCTCTCGCAAGTCCTGAAGCGCACGACAGCGATCTTCGTCGGCTAGATCCTCCATTGCTAAGAGCTCGGCATACTTCGGAATCGCTCTAGCGCCGAATGCACGGCTTACCTGGTAAGTGGATCATCGCACACAATACCTTTGAAACTTGGCGAACACATCACCAATCTTCGCTTGTCTTACCTCCCTGGGATTGTATGACTCCTGGAATGGTTGATCCACATACGGGTGACGGTCACGGAGTTGGTCACTGACTCGGTGCATGGTTAACCGGCAACGACGATGCGACCCAAGCTTTCCTAGCTCGGTGCAAGTAGTAGAACAAGAGTGGCATCCAGAAATACTACTAGTATGCAAGTCGAACAAGGTAGAAATAGATGGCGAGTATCAATTGAAACTAAATGTATTTATCACAACAGGTTAGTTAATGCGCGAGTTGAACAGGAAGACGAATAAAAAAAAACACTACGTCTCCGCCCTTAGTGTGTCGGCCGTCCTCTTCTCGCTGCACTCTTCCTCATGACTAGCTACCCAACTATACATGTACTTCATCACTTGTCCTTCTTTTCTCTCATTGACCCCACTTGGAGGCTTGATGACGTCTTTCGATCACGGATAGGACCCACAGCCGCCCCCAGTGACCACTTTTCAGCGGGTGGGGGCAACAGCAAGCCCCGTTTTGTTCAGTCCGCCCGACGCAATGTTTCTAATCATCGAGAAAATAGGAGGATGCCTCACAGCAAGCCTCCCATTGGAATCGCCCCACTCACATGCAAACATGCAACATACACTCGGCTCACATATATACCTTGGACTTACACAACACTTTAGAGGAAGAGCGCAGCTTGGACTCTTGAATGAAGATTTCCAGAAAGAAGAGGCAGGCTCCACATATCCAGGCGGAGACCTACATAGGCAAAGCATGTAGTAAAACACATTGCATAGTTAGTGTAAACCAATTGGCTTCTTCCTGAGAGGATCTACTTCTTCTCCTTCTTGGGCACACGGTAGGCACCGACGACGACGGCGTGGTCACGCTCGTACGGCTCCAGGGTAAGCTGCTCAGCAGGCTTGAACTGCTCCTGCTGCAGCTTCTTGACCTCGCGAGCGAAGACGGCCTCAGGCGGGGCCGTGGAGTCAATGCAGCTAGCCTTGATGGAGATCACGAAGTGACCACCGTTCTTGAGGAAGTGAGAGGCGTTGATAGCAACGATACGGGCCTGGTCGGGCTGGGCGACATCTGCGAACACGACGTCGACCATGGGCACGAGCATACGGTACTTGAGCGGGTGACGAGCGTCCTCGATGATCGGGACGACGTTGGTGCGCGACTTGGCCATGTTGATGAGGTCGCGGCCGACACGGTGGGAGAACTCGACGGCGTACACAGCACCAGTAGGGCCCACAATGTCAGACACGTGCGACACGGTCGTACCGGAGGCACCACCCAGGTATAGCACCTTGGCGCCAGGCTGGATCCAGATGTTGTCCACACCGCCCAGAATGGCAGCGGCGATCTTGGAGCGGAACGGGTTCCACACACGGTACTCAACCTTCTCAGTGCCCTCGCCCGAGGCGGCCGGGACGTCCACCGAGATGCGCTTCTCGCCGTACACAGACTTGCCGGGGGTCGAGTTGAGCGTCACAAGAGCGTCCTCCTTGCCGCGAGCAATGAAGATACCGGCGTGACGGTGAGGCTCCACGACCACCTTGGCGCCGCCAGCCATGCCACCGCGGCCGCCACCACGGCCACCGCCACGGCCTCCTCCACGGCCACCACGGCCACCAGCACCACGGCCACCGCGACCGCCGCCACGACCGCCACCACGGCCTCCACCGAAGCCACGGCCGCCGCCACGACCGCCACCGCGGCCACCGCCACGACCACCGCCACGGCCACCACGACCGCCACCACGACCGAATCCACGTCCAGACATTGTCTACTTGACGAACTTGAGGGAGAAGATAGAGACGCGAGAGGCCGCAAGCTTTTCCGGAATTGACCTTCGAGGAGCAACTGGTGCAAATGGATGGCCACGTCCGGTGCTCTGCCAGCCAACCAACGTCGCGCAAGTGGTAAACTGGAATTTTAGCCAATCCAGAATAAGTTGATTTTTAGCCAGTTAGAGCGCACCAATAGCGCTCTAATCGGGATGTTGAAGTGAACAGACGCCGATCAAGGATCTCCATGGCGTCCGCGCTGGTCGCGCTGCTGCTGCTGCCGAGTGCTGGCGCCTTCCGAGTGATCAATTCGTCGACCGATCCGCTGACTAGGACACATGCGGTCTTTGAGCCGTACGAGACTGGTCATGTGGGGTACTACGGAGACCCGAGCAACCCGTCGGCTGAACGACTGAACGAAGGCTCGCCGTACTCGCCCGACACGCCTCGGATCTTCTTCAGCGCTCCACTGCAGCGTACAGTCTAAGTTTTTGGTTATGGCTGTCGAGGTTTGAGATTTGTTGACTGAATTCCGTCTGCAGAATCGTGTCCAGGGATGGTGGGTCCTGGACGCAACGGCGAATTCTACTGCTTCAGTCGCGAGTACGGCTACTGCGATCGACGCAGCGGGCTATGCGTCTGCAACCAGGGGTACACTGGGTTAGAGTGCACAGCATGCCAGCCAGGTTACTTCAAACGAGGGGGGTTATGTCTTGCCAAGAGTAAGTGTCAACAACCTTATTGCGACGATTGCACTCCTGGCTGACTACTGTTGGTTTGAAAGAGAGCTGTCCAAATGATTGTTCAAGAGGTGGTGAATGTGACTACGCTACAGGCATGTGTATATGTGAACCCACACGGCGCGGAGTGGACTGCTCGCAGCGGTTTTGCGCGTTTGATGAGAAGTGTGTGAGCTGTACGAGCACTGTTTGTCTTCAATGTGTGGAGAAATTCTACGTAGACCCAGCTACACAGAAGTGTGGTACGTGCGTTGGGTTGCACGTTGTCTACTCACTGGATTGCGTCTAAATTAATTGTTTTGAATGATTTCGAGTAGTGTCCTGCGCGCGCTATGACCCGCGATGTCTAAGCTGCAACCATCACAAATGCCTTACGTGCGCAGACTTACAACTCAACTCGGTTCGTCGCAGCGGTGCACGGCGTATCGATCAACCATTACCAGATGACGAACGTTTACGCGAGTTTTCACAGACGTTCGTCTACGGTAGTCAAGATCCGCGAGTTTTTGACGAAGCAGAATCCTATACTCTAGCTCCTGCCTCCTATTCTTCGCTACCATTAAACGAGAGCAGTGTGACTTGCACGCAAGGTGGAAACGCGGACGCTGGGTGGACGTGCTCATCTTTTCCAGAGTCACATCGTGTATGTGGGCACCGCGGTGTCTTCTCTTTCGTGTCGCCACTTTACGCCATTGCTGAAGCTGCTGGGAGCATCACTGTGACAGTGCAACGATCTGGGGGTGGACTTGGACGTGCCGTATTACTGTATGATTTAGAGCACGTAACCACGACACCAGGAGATGTTTCTCCCACGATGTTTTACACTAGTTCACAGACGCTGGACTTCGCTCCGGGCATTGTATCGCTCTCTTACAAGCTCCAGGTCCACGATGACCACGTTTTGGAGAGCAGCAAAACGTTTAGGCTTCGACTTCGCGAGCCTTTTGCACCGACTGACTTACTTGACGCTGCGCCAGCAACATTGGGGAATCAATGGCGCACACTCGTGACCATTTTGGATGACGATGTTCTTCGACCGGTTGCCAATTTATCGTTTGTAGTTAATCCTGTTACCACGCTGCTGAAAGGTGGAGCTGCAGGTGACCAAATGACTTTCAAGATTCAGAGTGTGTTGGGAAATGGTGCACCCGGTGTCGACCCATCCGGCGAAGCTGTCTTCCTGATGACCTCGTACATTGAAGAAGACGATTACAGCACTGGAGCTGCAGTATTCCGCACTCTTCGACTCGGAAAAGTGACAAAAAGTGGAGGAGTAGGTATATCGATACTCACTTGTACGTGGATGCGCGAACTTGCAGGTAACTTTTCAGTTGCTGTTCAACTGTTGTACCCTGGTGGGCTGCGTGGAGAATACTATGGAGATGCTTGGCTAGGAGAATCATTTGATTCGACACCGACTGCACCAGCCGTGTTGGCTCGTATTGATCGTCATGTGAATTTCACGTGGAATACAGGTCCGCCTTTTCCTGGAGCTCAAAGTCACCTGTCTGTCCGCTGGAGTGGCTGGCTCAAGCCACTCGTCACGGGGACAACCATGATTGCGGTGTCAGTTGTCGGCTATGCGCGTTTATGGGTCGATGATGTGCTTGTCATCGATCGCTGGGGTGCTGGAGGTGAATCAGATAACGAACTTCCTGTAATCAGGACGGCGGCTGGAGTGAATTTGGATAATTCAAAACTGCATTCTCTTCTTCTGGAGTACCGAGCACCAAGGCAAGGAGATGTTTACGTTCGATTGTTATGGGGAAATGTCGGAAGTGCGAAGATGGAGGCCATCCCAGCTCAACAACTCTACTCAGGCAGTCATGTTCAGGGTTCTCCTTTCACCAACGTGGTTGTGACACCAGCTTTGACGGCAAGTACAGCGCTATCAGCTTCTACTATACGCAATGACGGAACATCCGCATCTCCAGCTCTCCAAATAATTGCAGGCGAGACCTTTGCTTTCAGCGTCTTGCCGTGTGACAAATACGGAAATCGCCGGCGATCACGAGATCAGCACGGTACGAAACGAGATATTATAGCTGCAACTCTAACGTTGACAAACGACCGAAGTCTTGGAGGTAAAGGTACCCAAATGGAGGACGCATTGGTATCGTGGGATGGAGAATTGGACGTGTTCCGCGTACTGACAAGACCACAGCGCAGTGGAGATTATTCCATGAGTGTGAGTATCAACAGCGTTGACTTGGCAGCGAGCCCTTTCACGGTAGCTGTAGTACCAGCTCAGCTTAACGCGGCAGAATGCGTTGTCTCTGGATCGGGAATATTTGCTGGTCGTGTGGCTGGGCAGGCTACAAATGTACTGCTTGAAACGCGAGATCTGTACGCAAACCGCATCTACACTGGAGGATTAACTGGTCTTAAGCTTCAAGCATCACTCGTGACAAGCAAAGTTCCAACCGTAGCAACAGGCCAAATTGCCGACAATGCCGATGGGACCTACAAGTTCACGTACATACCTCGTAAAGCAGGGAGCTACAGTGTCTCAATCACGTGGGACGGCGTTCATTTGCACAACAGTCCGTATGCGATTACTGTCGCGCATAATACCCCTGTGGGATGGACAAGTAGTGCCCAAGGCCCTGGTATCGTCTCCGCGAAAACGAATGTGCAAACGACTTTCCAAGTGACAACTCGGGATTTATCTAGTAACGATGTACTGACTGGCGGAGTGGCTTCAGCATTGAGTGTGGTGCTCGAGCTTCCTGGTAAGAACAACGTTAGTGGAAGCACATGTACCGACTTGTTGAATGGACACTATACGTGCGCATACATAGCGCACTACGTTGGCATCACACGACTGCATGTGACGCTAGCAAACCAACCAATAATTGGAAGCCCGTTTTTGGTAAATGTCACTGCTGGACCAGCATTGGGATCACGTTGTGTGGCGTCAGGTGGCGCTTTGGTTTCGGCGGTTGCTGGAGAGCGAACAAACTTCACCGTTAGTATATATGATATATTCGGGAATGCGAAGACTAACGCTGGCAGCGAAAGCATCGCTGTCACATTCACTGGTCCAGGTGCAGTCGCAACGACTGTGAATGCTGCTGTCACAGTAAAATATACCGGCAATGGAGTTTTCCTTGTGGCATATACACTAAGCGTAAAAGGCAGCTACAAGATCAGCGTGACTGTGGATGGAGTTGCCATTATCTCTAGTCCATTTACCATGTATGCGTATCCAGCCTTGGCATCTCCAATAACGACATCGCTGGATCTGCTCTCTCCACCATTTCCCAAGACGCAGGTCGATCCACCGCTTGTCTTTAGGGCAGGCATACCCATTGTGGCGAGACTTACCACACGAGACGCTTTCGGAAATGTGCTGGAGACTGGAGGTAATCGTTTTCAGTTCAATGATGCCGTACGTTCATTTCTTAAAGCCCCAATTACGGACGAGAAAAATGGGAGTTATCTAGTCACCCTTCGGCCGAAGCGCAGCATGCTGTTTCCTTTTACGCCAAAGCTCATGATGCCAGGAGGTGTAAACGGTTCGTACTACTCCGCGAGTGCAGTTCCTGTGGGAACCGCTACAGCAGAATCATCACCAGATCGCTCGCTTCTGGTGCTAAAGCGGCGCGATGCGACACTAAATTTTGACTTTGGAGAGAAGCCACCTGCACAGGTGTCGTCTGCTGAGACTTTTAGTGTTCGCTGGGATGGCTTCCTGCTGCCACGCTTCAGTGAAGTTTACACGTTTGAAGTGGGTGTGTTGGGCATCGCTAGTCTACGCATCGACAGCACTTCGGTTGCTGTTCAGAAGGGTGTAGATGTGTTAATGAAGGTAGCCCTCACAGCGCAAACATTCGTGGATCTTGAGCTGAATTTCTCAAAGCCAAGAGCGATACCCAACGCCACAGTATTTCTTTGGTGGAGTAGTCTGTCTCAATCTCGCGAGATTGTTCCTTCTTCTCAACTCTTTACTTCCTGGAGGATTGTCAACAATGCCCCGCCACTCGATATCAAACCTGCTACTGCAGACCCAACAAAGTTTACTCCAGAATTCGGCACATCGTCCTTAATACCGGAGTCGATGGCAGTGCGAGCAAGTGTGGACAAGTCCTTTATCTTCACTGTGGTGGCACGCGACAGCTTCAGTAACAAACTTAGCGGTGAAGATTACTGCACACTATACGTGTTGCTTCCGCAGGGGCTTACTGGGAATGCCCAACCCGATATATCGACCACCGATTTGTTGGACGGCTCGTACAAAGTCAACTTGGTTGCTCATTTAATTGGCAACTTTTCGTTGTACATAGCTGCTCTTCCTGACGCGAAGAAGACGAATGTTCCTCCTGGTGGCGACGCTTTGGTAACATTCTTGGCTCCGTACAACATCAAAGGCAGTCCATTTAAACTCCAAGTTGATCCTGGTCTGCCTAGTGCAGTGACTTCTACGCTCATCGGTGGCGGTTTTGTGTCAACGACAGCTGGAGTTCTCACTAGTTTCGTACTGGAGCTTCGTGATGGGAGTATGAACCGCCTCACAGCTCCCATGGTGACTTCATATCTTGGTCAAGTTCGAATCAAGCTAAGAAGTTTGAGTACAGGCACCGAAGTATCTGCGAAGGTATCTCAAATGGGTGAAGGAGATCAGAACTTCTTGTCGGCCAATGAGGTACTCGTTGAGTACACAATTACTCTCACTGGTCTACATGCTGTGTTGCTTAGTGTTGACGGAGGTAAATCTTTTACACAAAAGACAGTAACGCTGCGAGTTGTCCCCAAGGTTGCCACTGCGGTCACATCTTTCGTGTCCCCTAACGGCGCAGGAGTGACGGCAACGGGCGTAGGCTTGGGACCGCAGATATTCACCAAACAGGATTACACGTATCACGTCACAGCTCGGGATGCGTTTGGCAATATTCGTGATAGTGGTGGCGACCTGTTGGTTGCTCGCATTCACGGCCCCGACAGCTCAGCGGGTAACGTTACAGATCTCGGCAACGGTGACTATGTTGTGACCTACCGCGTCATGATACCTGGGGCATACGAGATCGAGACGCGAGTCGCCGAGCCGCAGCGTGGATTAACTGGGTATTATTACATCGATACGGGATCTCTCCAGCGTAATTTAGCGAGTGCCATGCGCACTGTGGACGCCGTGATCGACTTTGACTGGAGTAAAAATGTTAGCATGAGAGGATTTCCGCGCGTTGTTTGGAGAGGCTTCCTTCGTCCGACTTTTACAGAGGAATATACGCTGTGGGTCAAAGTTCAAAGCGACGTCGGGAGTGCCGCTGGTGTCTACATTGACGGGAAAACAATAATCGACGGCTTGAACACTGCTGCAACCTCCGGACACGTGACACTCGTCGGTGGTCGACTCCACGCCGTTGTCGTCGAGTACCATAGTGCGTCACTGCAACAAGATCCAGGATATCTATCCTTATTCTGGCAGAGCGTTCGGCAACCATCGCAGCTCATTCCTACACAGTCTTTAATCGCGGAGGCCTCCGAAGTTCTACCACGAACGCAGTTCGTAGCTGTCAACTAGTAAACAATCCAATCCGTACTATTGCCACTTTTAATGCGTCTCCAAGGGCGGCTTGAACGGTCGATCTCGTCCGCCAAAGCGAAGTTGTCCAGACTCCTTCTTGCCACCCAAACCACCTCCAAGTCTCCGCGGTTTCCACCCTTTCATAACTCTGCTCCGTTCAAAGTCTACCAGTATAGTAGCTCCATCAATCATGCGTCGATGGGCCTGTCTGTAGGCTCGTTCGAAATCTCGCTCGTGCTCGAACTCGATGAACGCGTAGCCCTTGGATTTGTCGGTCTTTTTGTCCCGCACAAGTCGAAGTCGACGGATGGGCCCATAATTGCTGAAGAAATCTCGGATCGTCGATTCTGTCGTGTCAAATGACAGTCGCGCCACGAACAGCGTCGCGTACGGGTCGCCCTGGATCTGCGGGTCCTTTGTGGCGTCGTATTTGGCATCCTTGGCCCGTACCAGGCCTTTGTCGTGCGGAGTCGTGTCAGTACCATCGATGCTGCCAATCTGAACGGGATTATACTCCTCGGCGAACCAGCCGCGACGCCAAGAGTATGGTTTGATATCAGCCGGCTCGGTCCTGTCACGACTTCGACTCCTGCTTCGACTTCGCCGACGCTTGTCCTCTCGAGTCATCGGATTAGTTCAATTGAGAGATGTCCAAATAGAAAATCGGTCTAGTTTTTGAACCTATTTTTTTCGTGAATGTTGCACGAAGGAAAATGAGGTGGCCAATTTACCAATTTTTAAATTGACAAACGAAGCGAAGTTGCATTCCGTCGAGCTGTCAAAAAAATTTGGCGAGGAGTCAGTAACGAAACTGCGCGAGGATTTGAGTTCTTGGGACACCCGCTACGGTGGCGCCGAGTGGCAGCAGTCTGAGGGCGTCGTGATGCAGCTCTTGCAACAAGGCTTATCGCAGTGTGATATTCGGGCCATTATCCCTGTCGGTGGCTCACGCGTTGATCGTCTGCGCAAGATTCGTGAATTGGGGCCTGAGACGTGGCATACTCGCAGATCTCAGGCAGCACCATGGCACGCGTTTAGTGACGAGGACATTGAGGCTTTTAAATTGCATTGTGCTACTTGGATTTTAGAAGATGGCTTTCCATGTGCTCATCGGCGTCCACGACAATATTTTACTGAGCCCAATTTGACGTGGGTCGTGGTTCATGCACACTACGTTGACGATATCACACGCAATGAACCTACAGCTCGAACGCTAAGCTACACTCTAGGTTTACGCAGTATGTGCACTTCTATTACCCAGGAGTTCGGCTCACAAGAACTGCAGAAGGCGTTTGATATTCGGTGAAAGATCCCACCAGTGAAGCTGAAAAGAAAAATATTTTACAGGAGAAAACCACGCACATCAATGAGGCCGTTGCTCAGAATAGGTTCGTGTCAGCTTTCATTAAATCTTACACGGCCTTGCATGCGCCGGACCAACAACTGCCAGATGTCATTATTCCTGACACCTACGACTCCTGTGATGGTGACACCATTGTTGAACCGATTAGTGAAGATGATGGCGAGCACAATGTGACCCGTGTTCAAATACAAGCGTAGTATTTTGGTTTGGGAATATCAAAGCCTCATTATTGTCATTCACGTCCGTCATCGGATTATTTTAACCGCAACCTGATCATCCAGAATTTTGTTGTGGTCGATATTACAAACAAGCGAAACAACGTCTACTTCTACGACGAATGCGCCCAGGGTAAGGGAGCCGATGCCCTTTGCAATCTAAGACTGCTATATCACTTATCCACCTTACAAAATGATGCCCGCAATGGCGTGCCGCCTGCGGAGACTCGTTTTGACAATTGCGTAGGACAGAACAAATCCAAGGTGGTCATGAAGTATTTCGCGATGCTATCCTTTGTGTTCCCATACAAGAAAGTAGTGTTGTGTTTCTTGTTACCTGGTCACTCTCACAACATAGCCGACCGCGTCATTGCATGGTGTACGCAAAATGAACATCTACGCACTAGTGCTTCTCGTGGAAGAAGTGAACAAGGTGAAAAGTGTTAATGGGATCTTTCTCGACCACAACAGACCAGACCATCCTTTTTTCGAAAAATGGGGCACATTACCCAGCAAGTACTTTATTTCTCCTCCATCAGGTTACACCTCGAACTTATTTTAGATAGATCAAGGAATTTGTACTGCACGCACAACAGTTAACGCGCCGGATAGCGAGGCCTGTACTTTTGCAATGATTGATCCTAGCAACATCGATGTCATTCGCCGAGCTCTTTGGAACTCAAGTTCGCACTATTTGGGAAGCCTTCATTCACAGCGTCCAGCTACCTCACCACCAAACTAAAGAACTGTCAGAGAAAAAATTGAAATCGTTATTAGCAAAGTATTTTTCGATACCACAGGAGTTCTTGGCCTACTACCCAGCCGTACCCGATTCAATCGTAAACGCTCCACAAATCGACTCCACAATCGGCAATACTGATGTACCAGCTCCAATAAATGAGAAGCGGAAGCCAGAGCACCCCAAGAAGAAGAAAACAGCGTTGAAATCGAAGCAGCCTTCGATCCTGCAGTTTTTCAACTTGGCTCAGAGGCCATCGAGCTAGCAATATTGCTTTCACAATATACATGTACCTGCATCCTATCGGTAGTTTCCCCAGCAGTCGGGGCACGATGGTAATTCGGGTTCCCGCCATACGTTTCATCTGTCAAACAATCAGCAATATTTGATTCATTCTTCCATTTCAAATGGACCATTTGAATAAAAAGAGGATGCATTAAGTATTTGAATTCGTACGGTGAACCATAGTCATCCCGAGCATTCACCACAAAATAGTGCTTGAACATAGATAGCATGCTGCCTGCTCCATCAGAAACGTACACCAGGCACATATATCTCAACACAATAGCGCGCAGAGAGTCTAGTTTCATTACAACATGGAGGTTAGCTGGCATGGACAAGTATACTGTGTTGATGGGCATCCGTACCAGCACTGAAAAGTATCGCCTGCTTTCGAATTTCAATGGACGGCACATTCGCTGATGAAAACGCATTCACCATTCTGCGAATGTCTCGAGCATGCACAGGCTGTAGGCGAGTTAGTAAAACGCAAACGGTTCACGTTGAAAGCTCGGACAATAGCTCGATACCTGAACATCGCATTTTGGTGCAGACCTCACCTCCTTCACCATCTGAGGTTCCGCAGCTTGTTGTGTTACGCAGGCCGACCAATAAATTCTTACGACCAATAAATTCTTACGACCAATAAATTCTTACGACCAATAAATTCTGTCAATTCACCCCACATGTGGAAAGGATCATTCTGGGATATATACAATGAGGGTGAGTGTGATATTCCCATATCACACCAATGCCATTGTAGTTATTCACACATGCGTAGCCAATTAGCACAAGCCCCAACAGTCACCGAACGGTCAAACCGTCAAGCAGTCGGTGGTTCGCCAAGGAAGTACAAAGTAAGAATGTAGTAGTTGCCCAAGTCTGACCAGATTTTTCAGGCCTGGACTTCATCAATTTCGACGCTAGTAAAGAGTAGCCAGAAGACAAATACTGCTTGCCTTCGCTAGTTTCCATGAGACCACGCTTACGTAAATCGTTATCCTTCGAGGAGGACGTTCAGATCTCTATCTGTATCGGGGCTCAGTATGTTTGTTCAATTTTGCACAAATCAACTTGGGCACTCCTATAACCTTTCACACATGACGGCGAAAGCAGCACTCTTAAGTCTTTAGATTCTAGAGTCCCCGCAACGTTACAGCACGCGTCGGCGGCCCTCGCCACTTCTTGCTCGCGATGCCAAATCTCTATTGGACAGTAATTATTGGCTAAAACCTGTTTAAAACAGCCAATTGCAATAGCGAAAACAGATATCACACATCTTGTAAAACCATCCGGTTTTTCAATAAACTTGAATTCAGTATGGTGTGCCATTGGGTTAGAAAACTAACAAGAAGTGTGAGGCTAAGATATCACACTCTGCTTGATCAAAACACACATTTCTCACACTTCTAACAGATACCGAATAATCGTAGTCTTAGGGGTCACTTCAATAGCAAATGATCGCTCAAGTGATTTGTATCACATACATGCAACTCGTGAAATTGTCATGGCCACAGCTACGATTTATCGCTACCACTATCACTATCCTTGTTTATGTCAGAATCCGACGACATCATCGTCCGAGTCGACTTGACCGTCAGCGAGGTTGCATTTTTCTAAATCTTCGACAATGTCACTCTCGAACCGCTCGATTTCTGAGCCAATAGTATCTCCGACCAGCAGAGTTTTGCCCAATATGCCAGCCATAGCAAATCCATTTACTATTGTCTGCTTCGACAGTCCCGTCCAGCATTGTGACGTCCACTCAGTAATATCAGCTCGTGTAGGGGGCTTCAGTTTAAAGGGTTCTTTAGTATGCATTTCCCGAAGCCGATCCACTTCAATATCTGCTTCCTCTTGGACCAATTCTTTGCGTGCACGACTAATGTTTTCCTGTAGTGTGTCTCGCTTGCGTTGGCGGTTTTTTTCTCCGTCACGGTACTTTACAAGTTGACTTCTAAGCCGATTCACCCATAACGCACGGAGCCCTGCTTTCAGAGGCTTGTTCCACGATATGTCTGCCTGTTGGCAGACATATGTGTACAACATTAATTGAAGCTGCATACGCTTGGACGTCGGGAGTCCAATGACCACTAAAATCATCCCATATCAGTAGGATATTGTCGTCGCGATTAGGACGCACAGCGAAATGAAATTCGAAAATGTTTTTTTTGACAGTTCTGCGTTCCACCAAGCACACTGCTTGACAGTCAAATTGCTCTTGTAATTTGAGAATTTCACGTTTCCACATAGTTTTGCTGAAACCATGTCGTAATGTTGCGTTCTCTAGTCGCTTTGCGGGAATCTTTGAAGGCGCACACTTAAATATAACGAACGGGGCCATTTTAGTACCTTCCCAGTCGGCTAACAGCATGGCTGTCGCCCTTGCCTCCTCTTTATTGCCACATCTCACCCACACTGTCTTAACCCCGCGCTTGGAAATTGTTTGTTTAGAAAGGTTGTCAAAGTTGATGCCTACAAAAGATGATAGTAAGTATTAGGTGCTCCAAATTAATAATTTGACTTGCACATACGCACCCGTTTGGTCCGCGTTGTACACTTGGACGCATTTCTTCTCGACTATTGTCTGCAATACCAGCGTTTTGAACTCCTTCGTCGCATCAAGGACGTCTCGCAGCGTTGTTTGCCCTTGTCTAGTGCGTGCACGGAGTAAAAGTTTGTGTCGACGTAGAAATAACTGTATCCACGTAGAGGTTGCAGCAAATTTTTCACCGAGGCCGATTTCATCGGCAACCTCTTTTGATTGGAGATGCAGCATGAGTCGGAAAACCGGTGCTCCGTCTTTCCGAAGCGTGTTTAGCCAACCAACTATGGCAGCTTCAGCCTCCTTCGTAAGCACGGTAGCCTCTCCAAGTTCACGCAAGTTTTTGATGGCTGCCACAACCTGATGCACACGCAGCACGAATAGTGGAGCTCTGTTTTATCCACTTATTTAATTTTTTTTTCGTGCACGAAGTGTTGGCTCTCCCCAAGCAGAGCTCCGTTCTATCAAGAACGCAAAACAAAAAGTGTTTTCTTGCTGAAAGACATTTTTTTTACTTGTTGTCAGTATTTAATGTGGAGTACCAAGACACAATTTGCTTCTGTGTTCACGCCTAGAGTACGTGGTAGCTCCGTTTTTGCGCGCAATGCGCACGTCACAACTTGGGCTTTGAATACAAACTCCTAATATAAAGATTTTTCAACTCCGTTTATTAGGCTACTCTCAGTTACAGTTTTACTCTCATTCGGGAATCTGCCGGCCATAGCCCACAACTACAGCTCCGCCACTTTGACTTCAGCGCCGTCATGGAGGCGACCACCGACGAGTCCAAGGCAGTGGCGTGGGCCATGGAGGTGGGGTTGCTGGAGCGGTCGATGCTCTGCCCTCAGTGCACTCAGCCCATGCGGCTGAACGCGCGCAAGCGCTACTGGCGGTGCTGCAGGAAGACACGCAACGCCGATGGGAGAGCTCTGCTTGGGGAGAGCCGAGGTCGTGGTTTTTTCCAACGAGGGCCTCTCCCGGTAAGTTCATGTGTGGACTCGTACAGGCTGTGCAGCGGCACCCACAGCAGGAGGAGTAATAGTACCTGTGTCGAGAGTTGAAGAAAATATTTTTTTTAAATAAAGTGCTTTTTATTTTTCATTCTTCAAAAAGCAGAACTCCGAAAAATGGAGCTTTGCTTGGGGCGAAGTCGTTAAAGCAACGTCAGAATAAGCAACTTCTGGCAACGTCAATCTTACGCAACTTCTGCAACTTCAGCAACACCAGCAACGTCGGATATATTACCGAAGAATGGCAACTGAGGCAACGTCAATCTTACGCAACTTAAGCAACTTAAACAACTTCAACAACGACGATACTTTTTCGCGCAATAATTTTGTTAATTGAGAGACGAAAGGTGGTATTTGAAACGGGAATGTGTTTAAGGTATATTGTATATTCGACACAGTTAATATTAATGATAATATTTGTATGATTAAGCCTTAGATCGAAGTAAAGTCTCGCCTACATTTCCGCATGATGTTTGGTATTTGTGTAGGATTCCCTTGATTGCGAGCTTGTTGCTAAGAAGGCCCGAAAATATGGCTTCTCTAAGGAGTCACATCACACATTTGTCTCGCCAACTCTGTATAATGAGGCTTCCACTGCTGTGGTGGATGAGCTTAGCAAGGTAGTCAAGAGCACTCTGCATTGCGCACATAAAGGAGTTTAGTTGCGAACCTATCAATCAGTTTTGAGGGATGCGTGCCATTTGTACTTAGCATTTAGTTTATTCAGATTAAAGTTCCCTATGACTAGGACCAATACTCAATTGTGTAAAGTCATGAGAATACAAAATCTACTTAAAAAGCACAGAAGAAATGACAACAAGCGTAACGATGTATTACGTCAAACCTTTTCGCTTTGAGTCCTCTAGCTGAACCGAGTCCTTGCAGCATTCTCAGGCGCCTGCGGCTTTGCATGCCTTCGAGGAATGCGAGCTTTAACACAATAAATTTTGAGGTACATATCGAATTGACATTCTCTTATTTGAGAATGACTGGCTCCTGAACGATGGCTGCATGTGTTATCAGCGATTGCACAGCCTACAGCCTGAACTTTATTGGCTCAGCACGCGGTTGAGCTGTGGTAGATGCATGGTGTATCCGCTGCAAAGCTGCCTACATCGTGTCGACAAACCTATGCCTACAGCTACCAGGATTTCAACAATGTTGTCGGATTTGCACTGCAAAGCTGATCACTAACTTCATAATCCCACGTAAATAAGGATTTAGGCTTCAAACCGCCCGCAAACTAGCGCTTTGACGTCCAATCGATAACGGTTTAGAGCTGTTGCGCCACAGCAGGAAGTTGGTTAGTCTTGCCTCACGAATACTATGTCCATTCCGCGAAACTAGTGCGAGTCAAGCAAAACTCTTGCAACGACTCGAGTTTGTACATCTCTTCAATTCAACGACATACAAATGCGTCCGTCTATCAAAGAATTTTTTTCTTTCTTCTACGAGTACTCGCAAAACGTTTAGGAATTGAGGCAGAAGAATTCGTACTTCAAAGTGTTCAGCAGAATCCTTGCGCTCAACGCACTGGACCCTGTGCCGACGCAGCACCTCAAGTTTACGCTCTCCAAACGGAATACGTCAACTCGCACTCAGATCCATGGGATAAGTTGCTCTCAGGTCTGGAGATCTTTCATGGTTTTTTTTTCTCAAGGCGTATTGGTGCGATGCGCCATGACGTGAAAGCACACAGTGGTGCTTTGTTCTGTTTTCAAACAAGCGATGACATACGCAGAATGACGTTGCGCAACTTGATGACCAACATCTGAATGTTTTGACGTTGCCTGAAGTTGCCTAACGTTGCTTAAAGTTTCTTAACGGGCGTTCTATAATCGGGAGCCTCGTTTTTCACATTTGTGCGAGAAGCAACTTTAGACAACGTCAACCCGACGGGAGTCGCTAAAGCAACATTGATAATCTGCCTTTTCACGGCACTGTATAAAGCAACATTGAAATGTCGCGGTTCAGCAACATTGGAGAATACGAAATACACAAGCACATAAACCTTAATAAAACTATATTTTATAGAAAGTTGGAGGTTTCTGAAAGGACGAGTGTCATGGCGTCCAATTTGCAAAACCGAGGAAGCGTTGGAGCCAATCTATCGCCCGGGTGTCAATAGTGCGCACCACGGGAACCCCGACACTGCCCTAAGTTAAGAGGGACCAAGCACTGCTATTCGAGGGTGTAAGCCCGCGTGCTGTAAGCAGGGAGACATCAATGCTTTGGCGTATGACTCCGAAATAGGATTCATTCCCTCCCTCTTCCTCCAAGCACACAAACATACTATTATTAATAAATCAATGTTGGCGATGGGGCGACATTGATGGTGAAAAGGCGACACAACTGCAGCAACTTCAGCAACGTCTTTTCTCTCCGAACCGCTGGTGAGTGTGAGCTGAACCGGACCGCTCGTTGTCAGAACCGCCGCCGACCTTAGAGCTCATTCAGAAATTTTCTAAGTGGAGCACACGTGAGTTAGACGTTGCGCAACGAGACAGAAGGGATTGGTCCATGACTAGCCGAGAAGAAGGAAGAGATCGTACGTAATTCCTAATCTAAGTAAACTGTCATGGTACTAACGTGTATATCTAGGGAGGTGGGAGGCGGCGCGACCGGACGTGAGGTTGAAGAAAAAGCGTAAGCAATCTGATCAAGTTGCTCATAAAATTGTGAGGAATTGCTAATATTGTTAATGGAAGGGAGGGTACACGGCAGAGACATGAGCAGGGCCATCAGCAAAGAAGACGAGGGTAGCGATGAAAACGACGGCGACCCGGATTACCATCCCCTCTTAGATAGCGAAGAAGCTGAGGAGCTTTACACCAACAGCGATGAATCTACTGAAGATCAACCAGTTCCCACCCAGCGCACCTGTAAGTGGCATAATACTTTGTCTTGTTGCCATGCCGCAATCTAACGTTATATGTGCTTAACAAATTTGTATTGATTTAGTAAGCGATTTGTCTGTCCCTTCTCCCATCCGAAAGTTTGTACCATCAATTGAAAATCATGAATTCAGTTCATGGGAGGAGTTCGAGAGTTTCAGGGAGCGGTACGAAAAGGAGCACTTTGTGTGCAATCGCATTCGCGATTCGCGTACGGTGAAATGGTGGAGCAACAAGTACCCTCACCGCGCTTTGCCATCTTCGTTCGAGTATGCTTTTCGACGGTATGCCTGCACTCTTGGATGCAGGCAGAAGTCACGAGGTAGCGGAAAGCGAACCGTACGGACCGAGCGTTTTCGTGGATGTGCCGCAGAATTTCGAGCTGTCCTCGCTCTCTCGGAATCAGATAAAGGTCGATGGGTTGTAAAGGTTCAGAACGAGGTGCGTTTTTTTTTCATGCGGAAGCGTTATGTTCTCTAACCAGTTTGTCCTGGCTGTTTGGATTAGATGAGGTGTCATAACCATAATCTCACTAAACAATTGTACGTTGCCATGAAGCGCTGCAAGGATCTCATTGATGATACTCTACTGGAGCAATTGGAGGCATTCGTCGAAACAAGCACCAGCACCAAGCAAATGACTGATTATGTATCTCGAAAAACAGGTAATGTTGAATAAGTTACATGCGGAGGATTTGCGTCACTGACAGTAAAGGCATGAATCCAGGGCTTCCTTTTACTCCCCAACAGATCCGGAACCTGATCAACAGCCGGCTCGGTGGCGTTGGTACAGAAGACAGGGTGAAAGCGGTAATCACAGAGTTTGTCCAGTCCTCAGCGAACCATTGCCTCTTGATTCAGGACGAGTGGGGGTTGACTATTGGAATTGTCCTTCAAAATGCCGCGCAAAAAGAGATTTTCAAGCGGTGGGGAGAGAACCTTGTCCTGGACTGGACTCACAATACGAACAACATCGGATTTTACCTTGGTACGTACAGACGTTGCGCAACTTGCCTGAAAATATGTATCATTCGTATACTAACAGTGGAATATATCGTAGGGAGCCTGGTCGTAACGGTCGCTAACGGACGTGGAATTTCTGCTGTCGATTTCCTTTGCATGAATCAGCAGAAAGAAACGCTGCAGGCGGTCCTTCGCTACTTTAAAAAGCAAAATCCCTCATGGACGGGTGTGGAGTCGCTCACGATCGATAAAGACTTCACAGAGATGGCGGCGCTGCAAGTGGAATTTCCTGATGCAAATGTAAGTACTGATCTTGAGTGTTTTGGTTTCTAGTGTGTTTAAATTTGTTGTGTGTTGTCAGATTTTTCTGTGCCAATTCCACGTACTTAGATATATCCGACGTATGCTGGGCACTCGGGCCTACTTTGTGTCTTTTGTTAAGAGAGCCGAAGTGGAGGATCTTTTCCGTTCTCTGTTGTACGCATCGTCACGACAACGATATCTCACTCGAAAATTGGTGTTTGAGAAGAGGGTACACGAAATTAGCCCTGGTTTTTTGGAATACTTTCGCCGCTGTTGGGACACGTGCAGCGAGCGTTGGAGTAATTATGGACGCCGTCGCCGATTCTCAGCAGGGAACACTACGACAAATCGTATTGAGTCAAGCTGGAATCAATTCAAGCAGCTTTTGGGAAAGAAATCGAGCATTGATAAGTGTTTGCAAGTCGTTGTTCAGCAGCAGTCGTGCGTGCTTCGGGATTTCCTCACCAGTATTGGCGGGTATCTGGTGAAGTCCCCAAATGTTATCGGCAGCCGCCCTCCTCTCGCCGCTTTGGGCCAAGTACTCAGCCCTTACTGTTTTGAGCGTGTGCGTCGTCAGTGGGATTATCACATCAGTTATGGAGCGGAGTGGCGGTGGCATTATTCGGCTACACCAACCGGAGACGTGTACAAGTTAGCATCAGCAATTGGAACTGGAGTTGAGGTTGTGTGGGTCCCAGGCGATGTGTGCATGTGCAATTGCTTATTTCAAGTCTCTACACGCCTACCGTGCCAGCACCTATTTAGCGTCATGGTCAAATGTCGTGACATGCCCGTATTTGACGTTGCGCAACTCTCTACTAGATGGTCTATGCCGAAGGCTGCTACGGTAGAACCTATAATGGCCGAGACTCTACAACATCTCTATGACGTTCGAGACGCTAAGTATGTGGATAATCAGGCATCCACTGCGCCATATCGTTTTGGGGCAGCGAAGAGACGCGTCGGCTACGCCAAAGTAAAGCGGGGAGAACACTGTGATCAAGCAGTGCTTTCGGATTGCGAGAAGTTCAATGTGGTACAAGCTGAGTTCTTTCCTCTTATTAGGGCAATGCAGCGATTGCCATCGCACGAGTTCTACCCGCGGTTTGCCGAACTGCGGTCAATTCTCGCCACATTCAAAAGAAAATGGAATATGGACACTACCAACATTCCCACAGAAGGTGCCGTGGACGGAGGCCTCGATCACGAAGCTGACAGCGAATTTAGCAGTGAAATCGAGGCGGATGATGCAGCCTATTATGGTGTTAGTGACCAAGACCAGTTAGATGGCACAACACTGCATGCTGTTGCACATTCGCAAGAAGACGCCAGTGGAAACGGATCGCCTGTCACGCAGAACGATTCTTCAGGAGATGCAGAGATTGACCTCGACACGTGTTGTGTTGAAGACCCATCTCAGGTCACTCAGCCTGATCTCGTAATTTCCGAGGCATCACAGGAGCTTTTGGAGATGGCTGTCAGGGCTGATGATACTAGTACGGCAGTGTCCACGACTGGCAATGCGCAACGTGCATTTGAAACTACCGAATCAGAGCCGAAAGCCAATAAAAAAGAGTCTGCAACAAGCGACACTACTTCAGACATTGCGCAACGTGCGCAACTTCCGCGTGGAAATGAAGTCTCTAGTGATTCCAGGGGCGTCGATGTAATCAATCTTCCGAAACCTTCAGTGGCTACACCAAGAAGTGGCAAGAAACGAACTCGCCTGGGGATTATATACGGGAATTGTGACTGTCCCATCCGACTTGATGAATTCCTCACGTGGGCAGTGGCTTATCCGGATTTAAATCGCGTACGTGAGATTATTGATCGCTTCCCTGTTCGTTTTGACCAAATGATACTTCGAAAGAGAACACCCGTAGTGGTCATGAGAAAAGCAGCTCCTTCTGATTTCGTCTACAATTTCCTGCTTCCTCAAGGCATTCAGGCTTCGATAACAAGCGAGTTGATTCAATGGGCCAGTGATAACAACTACGTGGAATGTGTTGAAGATGACGAGCCAGATTCTATCCCAGTGGCATATTATTCCGAGAACAAGGATTGGGCTTTCTCTTTGTAAGTAATCCGGAGATTTTGAGGTGTTTGCTTACTTAACTAACTGCTGTCTTCTGTAAAATGTGATTTTTTATGATATTAGAAAATTTACAGAGCTTGTCCACGACGTTTATGCCGTTCGAGGAGATATCGACAGCTACAAAGAAGATCTGGCATGGGTGGAGAGAGACTGGCCACATGAAGCAAGCATCTGTCTGCCATTTTTACCCATTGTGACGCATTCACTAAGAGATGCAGCTCATGAAGTTGCGCAACGTCTTGCAGAATCCTGGCTATCGCGAAGGTTTACTTTTCGAGCTGGGATTAAAGGGTCTGGTGGTAGAGCTGAGCTACGTGGCATACTAGGCTTTCTCGCTGGAAAAACACGGCTCAACGATGTCGTGATGCACGCCATGCTTCAACGCATCTGCTCAGGGATCTCTAAATCCTTTGCAATAGATCCTGTTAATGTGATCGAGCGCAAGATGAAGTTTCCAAGCTACCCACTGTCGCGATACAGCCACGTCGTTGTGCCTGTGTACATGAAGACTTTGGAGCACTGGATGATCCAGATCGTCGAGCTTCCAGCTATGTCCCAGAGTGAAACCCAGCTCAGAAATGTAGCTCTGGTATTGTATGATCCCCTTGGACCAGGTCATAACTCAAGATTTTTCGAGGATACATGGAGTTCTTATACACTACCACTGCTGAAGGAATGGTCTCGGCGTGATTGTGCATTAATTCAGGCCAAAAGTGGATCTAAATCGACACAACTCGGCAGAGGTGACACAATTCGTGAGATAGAACAGCCAAAGGAGATCACACTCACTGAAGTCGATGACTCCGTCGTGAAAATGAGATGGCTGCCGTTTCCTGTTCAAGGCGATGCTGTCAGTTGTGGTGTTTTTTTTGTCTTGGACAGGCATACAGCTACATCACTGGTAGCAGGACGTTCGAGAAAAACAAGAAGATTTCTGCAAATAATATGGAGATCATGCGCCTCTGTATCATGCGAGAGATTTTGTGCAAGGCTGATAGTGTTGAAGACGCCTCAGCCGATATTGACAATTGGCGCAAGGTGCAGAAGGTCAACAAATTCATCCACGAGTACTTCACAGCATCGGAGATGAGTGAAGCGATTCTTTAGAAGTACACGAATGCAACATTATATCTTCGTTGATCTCCATTTGATGTACATGTTAATTTCAAGTCGTTGTTATTTCTATAATGTCAAAGCAGGAGTACTTTTCCTGCCCGATAGAAGTTCCGTGCATGAAGTAATTTATCTGCACGTTGCGTACGTTGCACCGTTGTCGTCATTTATCGAATGAGTTACACGTTGCTAGACGTTGCTGAAGTTGCTCAGACGTTGCACACGTTGCCCACGTTGCTGATCTGTTAATGACTTTGACGTTGCTTTAACGAGAGCCTGCTTGGGGAGAGCCGAAGTGTTTTGCCGCCTAATTTTCCATAGAAGGGTTCAATAGTTCGTCGAGGGAGTGCGTTTCGTTGAAAATAAGAACATTTTCTTTGTGTGAGTACGCGACGGCCGTACGCTGGTACAACTTCCTCGTTTTGCCTTGGCCATTGATGCGAGGACGACCCATGTCTGTAGGGGGGGGGGGGGATTGCTGCAGTGGTGCTCTTTTATCTAAACTGGAACTAAAAATAAGCTGAACCACCCGCGTAAGTAATGTAGCCATATCAACAAAAATGGCTGCTGTTGATTGGTCGTTTTGCAAGTGACCCCAAGGACTAAACGACCCCTAGGACTACGATTATTCGGTATAAACTTTATGCGGAATGCGGGTTAGGTGATGAAATCCAATTATCCCACCCACCCCAATTCTTCTCTTCATCCCCCTCGGATTCTTGAAAACCTGTGTTTTCCGGAACCCTGATTCCTGGTGTGTGTCTGTGTGTTTTCCCCAGAATCCAGGTCGGATCAATTTGAGGTTATTACTGGTAGTGCTTTGGTACGAAGCAAACGTACAGCTCAATTGGGTTTGTGTATTGTGTTTTACATACGTACAGTACAAGCTTTAATACAAACACCGAGTAAATCAATTTATGGATTTCAACAAGGTATGAATCGACGGAGGTAAAATAATTCAGAATCGTATTAACTTAAAAAGATAATAACATTCTGGGTTATGCTTATCCAATGTCGTTCGTAAAATCCAGGTCTCGCTGTCGTTGTTGATAGTGTTTTTGTATTTTTTTTTCGATACAATAGCTAACCTGGATTAGCTCCCGCTCCCATAGACTTCAACTACATCTCTAGATTGATCTACGCGTCAAACTATTTGTCTTGATCAGCTTAGATTTGTTCTAAGCTGATCAATCTAGAGATGTAGTAGAAGACTATGGGACTGATGGACGGCTTGGACCAAGGTTCTCCATCCTTCAAAATCTGACTCAGGCGACCATTTCGGTGAGAAATAGAGAAAAGAGATCTATGAGTATTGTAATTTTCCCGAAAATGAAAGGTATCATGGCTTTTCTAGATGTTTCGCATTGCTTAGGTACCTTTTTAAGAATAATGGACCCCAGTTCACCTCGCGCTCTATTATATTCCTTGTGCATTTTAGTCAGACTACTACCCCAAATCATCTACATAACTAATCCCCTGAGCAAGCGACGTTGAAATGCTAGCTTCGACACAACAACTAATATTACTATCCTTGTCCAATCTACATACATACGTATCAATATGGCACAACCTTCCCCCAGACAACAATATAGTATATTACTAACAAATCTTCCCAGCCGTAATACTAGTACATGTACAGTCGTCCCTGCAAAATCTGGAAAGGTGAAACCAATAAAGACTGCGAAGCTGCAACATTCGCGCAGGTTGTACATAGATGCATAATATACTGCGTTATTAAGTAGTTATTTTAAGCAACAGCTTTTTGCAATTCTATAATTACAGGTTATGGAAGGTTATTTAGGTGAAGGTCGAAGTAAAAAAAAAGGTGTAGTAGGGCGTCACGTAACGCAACCTGCGGACGCGTTCAACAAGAGCAGGAGCCGGAAGTCATCAACGTAACGCCTGAGTGATGTGGAGCGCACAAGCGAGGATGGTGGCAGATTGAGGGGGTTGGTGACGGAGGCGAGCCAGGAGGCTGCTGTCACCGGCGCCAAGGGCGAGAAGGATCGCAAGAGGGATTGATGCGACGGCGAGAACAAGGAGTAAGTATACGAACGAGGCGAGGCGATACGAAGGACGATGACGAAGAAGATGAGTGCGAAGAGGGAGAGGTCCAGATAGGAGTAGAAGGCACTGTAGCACCTTTGAAAAAAAACACGGTTGCAAAACCCGCGTTGACCAATGCGCCAGGTTCTTTTGGTTGCGCAACCTGGTTCAAGTGGTTTTAGATGGTTTTATGTAGAGCTGGTGTACATCTAAAGTGCCAATTTGTGCACTCCGTCTTTTAGCTTTTTTGTTCGGTCACTTCCTCGGAAAGTTCCTGTGAATGTACTGGCACACGGCACCATACAAGCGGCCCGCATCGTGATGATGTTCCTGCTGGTGATGACTGTTTCTGACCGACCGTTACACGCGTTATGAAGGCATCAGCGGTGTTCATGACGACGTTGGTCAACAACATCATTTCTCTTAACATTGTGCTTCCTATTTCGTTCGAGGATCGTGAGTCAGTCTACCGGGAACGCCCGACCTAGACGTACAAGTGTTGGAACTCGCAGGAGATTGAGAGGAGATCTTGAGACGTCGCAGCAAGAGTGAGACGACGAGCGGCTCCAAAAGAATGCGAAGTAGAGCAAACGACGGAGTACGCAGAAAGGACGAGCAGTTAGGAAACTCCTACACAGGAGAATCCATATTTGTACATGCCAAACAGGCTTACATAACAACTAAATACAATCAGTCTTCAATCTACCACGCCGAGCTCACATCAAGTGCTGCTACAGAGCGCACAAGCATCCAAAAACAAGGCACTATGGTACTCTGCTGACTAGATTCTCGCAGCGTTCCTGTATGCACTCCTGTGCGTCTTCATCTTCACGTTCGTGTGGTAGTTTTACTGGCTTCACCACAACGTTGTTGTACTGGATGAACTTATCGCTGCTAATCCTGGTGCAGACGTCCATAGATCAGATCCAGGCGTACGCGTTGACAGGCGTGAGGGTGGCGGAGACTATTGGCGTGCTAATGAACTCGATCTTCACCCTGTTCATGGGCTTCAACCCTTCTGTGAATAGGAACAAGAGCAGCTACATGTGGTTGTACGCCATCACACCTCAGCACTACCCGTTCGATACCCTTGGCTTGCTGATGTTTGGCCAGTGTGACGTCGACCCAACGTGGAACGAAAGCACGCAGGCATGAGCGAATGTTGGCTCGCAGCTCGGGTGACAGGTCTTTCAGTGTCAATCGACATATCACAGTGAAGAGCTACACTAATTTCAATGGCGACCCTCCAAGTTCGGCATGCTCCACTTGGAAAGGTGGGCGCAGGTAGGCTACGTGTTCAATTTCATGCGTGCGGAGGATAGTACTCGGTGGCTGGTGTATGATCTAGCACATCAAGAACCTAAAAGACCAGCAGATGACCAACAAGATCAGCAACTGCATCAACATTCTAGAGGCCAAGGACGTCTTATGCGGAGGACGAGATGACGCCCAGATCCGGAGTTTGCTGAAGAATCTGTTGAGGGCCTTCGAGATGCTGACGAACCGTCTTCTTCCGAGGAGGAAACCTTGCTGCAGGTCTTCACTCAGCTCGACGGTATGACCAACTCGCCCACTGTTGCGGCAAGTCTAAGTGCGGGTGGAAGTACGGGTTTGGAACGTTTCAATTCTGGTCAGTCACTAGGCGTCATCAATGTCACTGACGAAGGGGTGGCGTTTATAGTTCTCGTCTAGAACACATACTGCGAATCAACAACAGAAGTTTCACCGATAATAGTGGTTGCTTCATTTTACTTAGTTTAGAAATTACTACTCTCACCTGGCCTTCACCAACACAGTCAGCATTAGTTTTGATTTACCGCCTACGCTGGATCAGTTGAGGGCTTGCGAAATGCCATACCGTTGTTCCTAGATATAAGAAGCAGTAAATATCAGCAGTGAAGAGTGATTTCAACAGCATATATAATTACCTGGACTGCTCGACGAAGGCTCCGACGTCTTTGAAGCTCCGCCAAAGTAACTTTTTTGCCCCGTAGCGCTGGCATTCCGAAAAAAATCGCAGTCAATGAAACTAGGAAATAGAGTTTGATCTGGTTCTGGAATCGCCGCCAACGATTGGACTCGAATTTCCGCCAATTTCTTGCTGAACCTCTCTGCTTCAGGTTTTGCAGCGACAGCGTTTTGGGTGTTCATGTGAAGGACCACAGGAGGATCGTCATCACCTTCTAGCTCATAAAGCACCCCGGTCCAGTAATTCACTGCCAGATCTGAACCCACTACAGATTTATAGCCCGAATCGCTTTCAGCATAGCACAAGAAGCGGTCATTGCGATTGCGAAGTTGTGTACGTTCAGTTGGATCTGTTAGGCGTCTCCTCTTGGAAACGCTACCGGTATCAGAACACTCATTTTCTCGGACTCGCTTTCGAACCAGCGCTAACTTCTTTGCCTTCTCTGGATCCATTAGGTTTCGCTTTGAAGTATGAATGAGCGCTAGCTCGCTGAAGTAGCGATCTTTGTGGCTGTATTGACCACTATAGACAGGATTGCGAGAGCCAAGGTCGGCACCTTGCTACCACGCATTTCCATGCGCATACAGAGCCAATAACTGCGTATAGATGTAAATCTCTAAATGAGAGCATCGTATGGTCTTCACCAATAATCCACTAATATTGGTCTTCATAAAGTCTTGTAGTATCATCGCCAAGTTTGAAGCGTCTAAAGTACTATACTTCATTTTGGTATAGCGAGCTAACTGAAGTTAGAAGGGTTTTCCGATAGTTACTTTCCAGCTGCATTGTGAGCAGGATGCAAAAACAGTGCCATGGTTGCTCGCACTGCAGCCAGCGATTTTCCACTTCACAAATGAGATTTTGACTGGCGAATTGATGCTGAGGCAAGCAGTAAATATTTCGAGATAGCAGACAACATCGTGTTTTCATCCCTCTGCAACTTTAAAGACGCAAATGCTAATGACCGGGTGACTCCTTCGGCGTCAGCTAACGGGTATCAAAACGAAGCTCGCCCGAAAATACAATGTGTGCTAGGAAAATCGTCGTTGTTTCTAAATTTCAGCCCCAATAATTCCAGTGCACTACGAACACGAAGTAATGACGCGAAACATCCGTGCATACTATTCCAGCGGGTGTCGCACAACTGGTGCAAACACAAATCATGGCCGTAGATTTCTTGCATGCACACCTCAGTCTTTGCAAACACATGGAGGAAGAGGTCTTAATGGTGTTCACGGCATCGGACGCATCTTTGGCTACGGTTGAGTACTCCGTTTTCGAGACAACTCTCACCAGGTTGTTCAATTCGTGAGCAAAACCAATTGAGAAAGCGACCTGAGGCCATCGAAGACTCAGAATCCTTCGTGCCCAACCAAATTGTCCAGCGTTGTCTGTAACCGCAGCTCCGATGTTCCAACCTTCTTCTTCCATCTTCTTCATCACCTGCTTCATTTGCTGAGCGATGGCTACTCCATCATGACGTGAGCCAGTTTTGAAGAGACCATAGATAACTTGCTTACCATACAGCCACAACATACAGCCCAATAAATGAGCCCGCGCAATGTTCTGCCAGACATCAGAAAGAAAATTGACACGGCTTTCAGAGTTTTGCTGGCATTACTTTTGAGTCGCAATGTCGTAGTCTTCACAAGCTACTGCATAGAGATCCAGTACTTTCCCTCCCTGCGTCTTGCGACTTGGCAGCGGGTCGACGTCAATTGCCATTTCGTGTGCTAAGTGCAGAAGACGGTAGGTAGATTTACGCTCAATAAACGTATCCGGAAGATTGTTGTCGGCCTGAAATTCCAAGAGAACTCGCTCAAACAGCTTGCGCTCTTCCTCGTGGGAGAAACCAGTGTAAAAGTCATCAATGCGCACCTGCTTCCTTGTGCTCGCCTGTTGAGGCCATGTAATATCCTCGCTGAGGTTCCTGTTGGTTCCGTGCCTGTTGGTAGTAAAACTGGTAGCGCCGGATGTGGTGGTCGTATCGCGGGATTGAACGTGAGCCATGAAATGCTAACAACGTTTTAAATGAGCCCGGAAGCTCTCAATCCTCCCCTTAAGTTTCGTAGGTTATTGGAGGGCGTACGTACCGTCCGGTCTTATGGAGGAAGAGTAGGCGTTATGACAATGCTTGCAAATGTGCCAGGTGCGGTTATTCCTACACTCAAATTTGGTATTGACGAATTATGAGCCCTCATTGCTCGCTGGGTGCCCCATGGCGGTAGTTGTTGTACACCTAGACTTTTTTTTGCCTTGTTTCAAGAAAGGCAGAAGGGTTTATGGCAAACGCGGCGGCGAGTTGTCCACACTAGCAACCGCAGACCAACTGCAGGATATCAGGAGTCAGGTGCTGGCACACCGCATACTTCAGATCAGTTGCTAACATTTTGTGCACGTTTTGTCAAGATCAAAGAGCAGCTCTAATCCCACCTGATCCAATCTGATGAAAAACCTGCACCGACCAGGTTATTTTGGTTGTTGCTGGTGGTTTAACCAGGTTTAACCAATGTTTTTTTGTAAAACCAGGTTAAACCAAAAACCAGCCACCGGCCAACACAGACCGTAGGACAGCGGTAGCTAGACGACGGGGTGGTAGATAGGAGGGTAACGAGCTGCGGTTAGGCAGACTCGACCCTCAGTTGCGATTTGTTGCTGGTTAGTGGCGGATCAAGTCTAATAAACGAGGTTGCGCCAAAGTGACGGGGTTTCCACGTCGCAGACAACGATGCTAGGTCACCAGAGCGTTGAGTGTAACCGGCGGCGTAGGCGGAAATAGAGGCGGGCAGCAGAGAGTGTAGCGTCCCTTGTGGGGTGGCGTAGCGATTGACAACTGCCACGTTGGCTACTAGTTCGCTGAATTTTCATTGTCTATATCCGAATCAACCACAAGTTCCGCTCTCTTCTTTGCTGTTGCGATGAATTCCATACATTGCTCGATGCGAAACTTGACAATGTACAGGGGGTGGTTGCGTTGGTAATGAAGTGCGTAAATTACCTCTATCGCTTTGTGGGAATCCATTTTAGAGCATGACAGGCTAGTTGTAGCTGGAGGTTATGGTAGTTTGACAGAAGTTTCTGTACGTGGTCAAGATCATTCACAAAGATACCGAATTATCTTTCTTTCGTTGTCACGTTGCTTTCATTCTTCAACAGCATCATATCAATCGCAACTACGTTGTTGGCTGCATCCTGATCTGGAGATGTGAGTGCCAGCATACGTTCATCACCAACCTGTCATTCAGCTGGACATGCTGCTCTCTATTAAGCTATCATTATAGCCATTTTCTTGCCGCTTACTGATGATTTCGTCGCAAACCTGAGCACCAAGTGGCTACAGTGTACACCCGAATCTATGGGCGCTCCTGCAATCACTGCTGTAACTTCCATTATCCCACAACAAATAGTGCTCGCTAATGACCAAAACCCATACTTCACGCCCCCACCAAGCGGTCATGGGCGAAAGTCGATCATCGCGTATCGACTGGTGTGAACAACAGTTCCAAGTAGCTTCACTGCGTCTTGCGGCAAGACATAGTGACGCTACTTGTAATCTCACTTTCAACGACCACCGGTAAACCATTTCAGGAGAAAAAACTGAAAGTGATGTTTTCAACAAAACACGACTGTTTGAGAAAAACCAATCAATTGTGTTGAGCTTTCATAAAACAGCATACGACAGACTCCGCTGATTGTTCAAAATACAAACAAGTTGCTGTTAGAGGCTGCTTACAAGAGGTAGAGACTCCAACATGATGCGTCGCGCAAACGTCGACGTACCTAACGAACATGTAAGTATATTATGTAGGTTTTCGTGATTGCTTTCGTGTTCTAAATGGCAGCGTTCGCGCGCTACCCTTACTTGCGTGTTCAGTTTCTTAGATACGGCGGACCAATATCGTGACCTTCAACTGCGACAGCTGCAGACAGCGAATGGATGACCAATTGATAGGCCCTTCACGCTATCATTGCAGAGTCGCACTGCCTGTTGCTCACCCACCGTCGTAGGGACCTCCTTTCCTGTGGTATCTTCTATTGCCGCCGATAGTCGGCTCACCATTGCTCTTCATTCTGAGTAGGTCTGTCCTTTTTCATCGTGTTGACAGGTCACTTGCGTTGATAGACTTGCATGGAGGCTGCCCCTCGCTGACATTACCATACCACCAAAGGCACAACGCTCGAAGCACATCTGTAGTAGGAAATTCAAACTTTTCTGGTAGCAAGTGTATTTTGCCGAAGTACGACCGATAGACTCTCTCTGTTTCTGTGAGAGAGGGCTATCCGAGCCTCAGATCTTGGTGGAGACCTTGTTCAATGTTTGTTATAGTTGCTGTGTGTACTCCTGCTATCACAAATGCCCTTCTTTTCCAGTAGTTGCGTAAAACGAGCGGTCAGCATATCGGGAAGGTCATATAGCTTAGTATGTATGACTTTTTGCAATCCAAACACAACAGCTTGAGGAAGCATTCCCGAAGATTTCATCTGGGGTGAATCACCGCGTATTAGCTGCGTTTGTAGTCGAACGCGCAAATTATTAAGGCATAGAATAGTTGTGCCTCTCAGGCGTGGGTTGCACGTAGCACTGCTGCTAAAGAGTTGTGGTGACATACCAATAAAACCAAGCAAAGTTTTAGAATTGACTGCAGCAAGCGATCATTGAATAAATTCGGAAACAAGCTCTGCATTCCTTCCACGACGCCAACACTGTCGTATTCCTTGAAATGAGGTGGTAGAACAGCACTATTAAGAGGAAGTCTCGCCACGACTCTACCAAGGAACGGATCATCTGCTGCTGCTTTATAGCGCAAGTAGCGATCTTGCACTCCTCCACGAGACCACCCGCAACGCAAGTACATTATGACGATAGGCGGACCTACCATACTGCCATTACATGTAATTATTGCAACGCCCTCCGTACTGAATGCGTTCCGTAGCTCTTGTTGTCATCAGATAGATCCAGCTCCCCCGCGAAGGCCTTGCGAAATAGGTTTCGCTTAAGAGAGCCCGGAAAAGAGGGCTGCAAGACCAATAGACACCTGTGGGGGGGGGGTAATAAATTCACCGTAAACAGTTCGTTTTACACTTTCTGCGGCAAAGCCCAATGAGGACCGGGAAAACTAAAACTGACTTCACTTTAAATGATATATTTTGTTTTATGGAAATCAAAATCTTCAATAGGTTTGGTTTTTACAATCAGATCTTCAATCGGATGGTAGTGGTTATAATGAGCGAGGCTACAAAACTGGCAAAGATCAAATTATCCTACAAAAATGGTGGAAATCAGTGATTGACTTCTGGGTATTGTAACGGCCCAGGTGTAAGTTGAGTTACTAGCTTAAACCTAGCGGTGAGGAAACTTAGGTATACTTAGACGAAATATCTAAATCAGGGTAAAATCAATTCTGTTTTATTTCGAGTCAGGGCGGCTTCCCCTGGCCTCATGTGAACCACTGAAATGTAAGTCATCACGTCATAGCTAAATAATGGGTTTGTTTCCACATTATCAGTCAACCACATAATGACAGGTCAGCACACGCTAGATGTGTTCCACTATGTCTACTTCTGTAATATCTAAATCTAGACTACGTGTGTAACAGGGGTGACCCGTTAAAGGTATAGTGAATCCCTATTACTTTGCTCATTAAATCTCTTTACACTAGATAATCCAGTCATCGTGTCCTGTAAGAAGCAAACTTATCTCACGGCGCTCTTGCAGTATCATTCCACACGAGCGCATATGTCAAAATAGCCACTCTTGTAGAAAGAACTGTCGCTTTCCCATTTCCGACATCTTGAGTTGGTAATAGTTCTTCACCGGCGTTAATTTAAAAACTGCGAGTTTCCCAAAAGCTTACAGAATAATCGTTGTTGTTTTTTTCTGTGATTCTGTCACTGCTAAATTTTCGATTCACAGTTGTGTGCTCCAATCTTAAATAACCGTTCTCGTCAAAAATTCACCTATCAAGACATAGCGTCAATATTACAATAAAAACCCAGCCATCCAATAGACTGCTCAGCCGTTGCGCAATCGACTAGCAGCACATCTTACTCCCGCTGGCAGTTTTAGCACCAAAACGGATGGCCACCGCATTAAACCTTTTGGCCTACAAATGGTATCAAGGTCAACAGGCACGATCACTTATCACTTTGGGTCCTATCGCTTTTGTCCTTCGCCAAACATCTCTACTTCCACGCGTAGTGCTGCCGTCGTCATCGTTTCTCTCTGCTAGAAGGAAATCGCCGCCCGAGACGCCAACATCGATAACCTACCCGCCTCACAAGATGCCTCAGACCCCCCCCCCCCCCTGACTCGCTCATTTTCGATACTTACTTGGAACAACACGCCCCTGAAGTCATCGTTACACTCAGAAAATTTACGGTTAGCAAGTTCTACCTACTATACGTGGAGGACATTCTGGTTGGCCAATGGACATGTGGGCACGGCAAGAAGAGCAACACCATGGCAGTGGAAGCTTTTTTATGGACGCTCTGTGTTTTTAAGCACTATGCTACATGCAATAATTACGCACTCGACTTCGGGTTTAAACTGCCCACTTCTGAGCAGCTCGTCCACAGAGTCATGGACATTTGCAAACCTGTGCTACGTCAGTCGTTCGACATTTCTCTCAGCATGAGGGACCAACCAAGCAACGGCCGGGTCATCGCCAACAACCCCTACGCTCTATATGCAGCCGACGTGAAGTTCCAATTCGCACTCCGACTATCGAGGCGCTTCGAAGAAGCCCGTCGGTACATCTCGAATAAACACAAGCTTTATGACTACAAAACTGAAGCTTCTATGAACCCCCATGGTGGAGCGATATTTGTCACTGTAGAAAATCAGGCAACATGTCCAAATTATATGGCCGGTGCGGTGTCCGATAATACATTTTTGTCCAATCGTGTTGCTGAGAAAACCAGTCAATGAGAGTCTTCTCGATGATCATGGTGGGGGATTGAGCACTACCAAAATTTGTAGACACCGCTAATAGATAAGGGCTACCAAGGAGCCTTTTCAATGGTCCATGCAGTGCACCCAAAGAAAAACCGAGGAGCGGCGAGCTCATGACAGATGAAGTCACGCGGAACTGCCGCGTTTCCGCTGACTGCGATTTCGTCGGAACAGTTTTGGGCGTGTCTGCAGCCTGTGGAGAGCCATGCACGCAAAGATCAAGTGAAATGAGATCTTGGTCGACAAGGCAAGCACTCTCTGCCGTGCAACGACTAATTTTCATGCTCGGATCAACCCTCTCTGCAGCGAAGACGGCGGGTGTTACCGTTCTGTCACTGCTAAGTACAACGCTATGGCGGACGAGAGACGCACTCACCGTGCACAGACTTAAAGGGCCTACCGTCGTCGCCGCGATGCCCGTCTCAAAGTGGACCGAAGTGTTCTTGCACATTCTGCCGGACGTCGACCAGTAAGTGCTGAGTGGGCGCCTGCTAAAACACACTTATGCTCGCATTATGTCGAACTAGAGTTGATAGCCTATTTAGACGTGATTCCAGTCTCAACAAATTGCCTGTATGAACCACCGTCGATACCTCAATTCGTGCAACTGTCATAAACTGACCTAGGTTTTGCATTTGCCAATCGTATCCAATCTGAATATGACATCTGGTCGAATACCACTGTCATGTTGCCTACCTCCATCATATACCACCTGTTCAAAATTTAATACTTTGACATGGCTTTTGGCCTTCGATATGTTGCCTACATAAGCAAGTTTTGGTCGGCACCCAGTGGTCCCAAACTACTGTAAAACACAATTAGCCCGTTAAAAATGCAGTGACTGATCCACTATTCGGCAATATTACTATTACATCACTATTTTTCTGATTTTGAATTTTCTCTTAGCTGATATGCATGTTAGCTGGTATGCTTCTGCATGTCTCACTGGCTTGACCTGTGTTTTCGTCAGTTGCAGGGTAACTGGTTGCGAGATTTAATGGGAAGGCGTTGAAGAATGCATTTTTATTCGTGATTCGCTGGAGCTATCCCCAAAATGGATACGTATGATTGGCTAAATATCTATTGTGGACTGGCCATGTAGAATCGCACGTGGGAGATCCCAGCTTGCATGGGCGTTGATTGGCTAGTCGGCATTCTTTAAGAATGTACTGCAAAGCTCCGTAAGAATCACTATTAGAGACCTGTGGCTCCAAAAATAGACTTCTTTAAGTATAAAACCCACCTCATAACTCCACTGAAGCTAAATTAAAGCATCTAAAAATATCCACAAGGAAAACTATTATTAGGTTATCCAGATTTTTGTACAGATATGTCTTACTCCAGAAACTACAGTTCCCTAACCCCAACATTTTTGTCCTAAAGAAAAGGACCAAACATCGCTTAAGTACGATGGAGATTGTTGATTGGAAGTGAGTATTTTCCGACTGGGGAGTAGGCTTTCCCTAGCACATTTTTGCGCAACTGGTGAACAAACCCGATATGCAGACTTTTTTGTATCCGTACCACGTATAGCGTATACGCAACGTATACCACCTGCGTTTCAGTCACACAAATTCTCCCCCCAGCAAACGCGTGATATCTGAGGAAAAGGATGCCGCAGCGGCCGCGAAGCGCGCAGAAGCGGCCTCTGTCTGCCGACGACATTGGCAACGGAGGCAAATTACAGCGCCTTCTATGGTTCCACGATCGAGTGCCAGCCGTTACAAAGCGCTCTGCAAACCGTGAGTGAGCTTCGAAAGGCTGGTGCAACGAAGACCAGAATATTAAAGTTTATAAAGGACAACTCCGACAGCAATCCAAAATCACAGGATGCCCATAATCTAGTCCGCAAATTGAAGGAACATGAAAGCGGGAGTGGTCCTAGCGCCAGCGGGAAGCGCTTGAAGAAGTGGGTATCGGAGTTCGGGAATGTTCCGGGGAACGTAGGTCCTGTGTTCGTTGACGCCATGGGGAAAAGGTATGAGAGGCTCTAACTGATACTACAAATGTATTTATATTACAAGGATCTAACCATTTTATAATGTTAGAAAAAAATACGGCCTGTATACCTTACTGACTAAGCCCGTGCTGTCAATATTTGATCAGCTCCCGGAAAGTCTTATGGTCGACGTGACTAGCAGAAAGAATCGATCAAAGTACAAGGTTTTCTCCTTCATGGCGCATGACACGTTTGGCAAATGTAAATTTGTGCAGCATGCACTTCTACAGAATGAAAGGAGTGCGACACTTCAAGAAGGCGCTTCATTGATGAAATCTACAAGAAGGTCAATGTGTACCACGCTGACTACGATCGTGAGATGAATCTGGTTGCGAAACTCGTCAGTGAACATGCATGCGAGCTAATATGGGTGACTTCTCCAGCTATGGTTCATAAGGATTATATTTAGATCATACAGACCGAACACATACTAGTTGTTTGCCGGAGGGATGGAGATGCGACTCAACCTGCTGGGCCGCCGGACAGTGTGTTAATGGAATCAGATAGCGCGTCAGATGATACAGGTAACCAGTCGGGCGAATCTGGTGTCCAGTTGAGAGAGTCTCGTTCTACTCTGGAATGACCGAGGATTGCACTTTTGAAGTAGCAAGTCCACCAAGATCTCGTGGCTGTCCAAAACAAACGAGTAAATCGAAGAAAGCTGCACGTCGAAAAATATCGAGATGGTTCAAGTTGACTCAGACTTGTATTCATCAAGTTTAAGCCAATCGTACAAAAAGCTGTTCAAAACCAGCCCACTTACGAGAAGTCGGCAGCTACTCTTTCCAAGTTCAAGCTGTTCGAGTTCACCTAAACCCCCAGAGCTCCAATTGCCCAGAATATAGCAAGGCTGTCTTCCGCAAAAAATTCTCCCTGTCCAATCGATCGCTCGGATGTTCTGGAAGGAGTTTATTGAGACGTGCCAAGCAAAAGTGACACCCCTCCAAAAGGCACACAGGGATTCGTGTGGATGAAACTTAGGCGAGCAGGAGGTTGCCGTGGAAGTAATTCGTGAAGGCACGCTTGCAAAAAGGACTCTAGGTATCATGAAAAGTGGCATAGTGCAATGACAATCATCCAGCATATTGACAAGGCATTTCCTGGACCGAGACCATCGATTTTACTCTTCAAATGCCCAAACATTTCAGGACTGAGCCAGATCACGATATATTGGCAAAAATCAAGTCAGTTCCACTTTTGTCGGCTCAGATACGAGAAACCCAGTATGTGTACTTTTAGTAAGTATCGATTTACATGTATTTCTTTATCGTGATTGTGCAGGCAGAAGCACTGGAGCTAGTGAACAAATCTACGCTGGGTGACAGCATCATAAATGCGTTGATGTTGAAGTTATTTGCCGAAAGGTCAGACACGATTGGGGTCGATACATCAATCGCTGTAAATGTTATGAATGGTTTCCTCCATGAAGAGCGTGTTCATGGGTGTGACGGGTGCTTTTGATCCCAGTTATCTGTGGAAGAAATCACAGCCGCTCAATTATGCTGGACCTGACAACAGCAGAAGTGCTCATCTTCGACCCGATGAACTCGAGCTACCGGGTGGAAGTCCGACGGCTTGCAGAGGAGTTAATGATAATGCTGCCTGATTTTGCTCCGAGGAAGTATCGGATACGACCGTATCGCAGTGAGTTTGGAGCGCAAGTGGATAGTTACAATTGTGGCATGTACATGCTGTTAGGCTTTGAGGTCTTTGCTGGCGCTGAAAGCCTTAGACTGCTAAGTAGAAAAGAGCTGCAGTATCTACGCTACCGGTACCTGTGTACTTAACTCAACATGTTTCAATCCTTTTAATCTCTTATTTCGTCTCTATGTGGGTGCACGTCGACAAATGATCAAAATGTACGTTTTGTTGACCACAATATGTCTTGCGTTGGTGCTGCGAGCAATACATGCGCTAGCAAACCGATGGCTCGTGGCTCTGAGATGAACATCCGGTATACGCATACTTTAGAGGACACATCGGGCGATGACCTTACAGGCTCTTGCCCAGTCGGGCACTTTCGGGCTTCTCAGTCGGTAATGATGTGATAACAATGTACTGCCTCGTGTTACCCAGCCGATAAAAATAACGAGTGCCTTGCCGATTTTGTCCTGAAACCAGCGTGTAGGACAAAACTAACTTGAAGTTTGAATGGAGGCTCTTCGATACAGCTCAAGTGCGATTTGTCATATATAACAGCTATAGCTGATATACAGAGGTACTACGGGGGTTTCCAAGGTAAAGTGCCACTTAATGAACCCAAGTTTAATTGAGGTTTTTGTCCTATTATCCAGAACAAAACTCTCGTATGCTTTGTTACTAGTGACAAACCCCGCAATACATTTTGGCCCTGTTGGACAACAGTAGACACTACGAAAACTACACCACGTATAGAGCCCTTTTGGTAGTATATGACCATGGCAGTAATACCACATAACTCTCCATAATGATGCCAAGCCACGGATCTGAATTTTGGTCCTATTTTCTATCCTTAATTATCAAGGTGTTGGGGCTAATGAGAGTTTCAAAATCATGGGAAACACCGATGTGTCATCGCTGATCGTATGTAAAACCTTTGTTATTAATAAATGTAATACAAAGCCGTGCTGGCGCCCGGAAAAGCTCTGGATTTTATTGGCGCTTTTCTATTTCAAGGAGTTTATAAGAATGGATACATCGACGTAGGAAGATGAAGTAAACCTCAGTTAATATGTATTTGCTCGCACTCTTTCTTCTCGAGAACTATCCACCAAGCTAGTTGGTTGATAAATTGTTGCTGTCGAAGCAATATGTAGCTCATTACGTCCGTTGCTAAAACTAATGCTTGGGCTATCACAATGCAAAACGAAGA